ATCAAAAAGATTGGTAATTAGATTAGGCCTTTGTAAGGCAACCATTCAAGTCAATTATAGTTCAACCTCTATGGATTAGAAGTTTCGTTCTAAATCTGGTACCTTTGATTGTTTCAAGCCAATTTAAAGAAATCATATCAGTTAAAAAGTACTACATATAGTTCTGTAACTTGGGATTATCTATAAATTTACACACATAGCTAAAGCAAGTGCGTAATTTGCTGGGATAACGTAGATGTACGTCTCGTCCACCACAAAGTACTTTTTAATTAGGTTGTCAACTCAATATCAAGGTGCACGAAAAAGCTGTCTGGCCCCGTTGAGCCTTTAAATATGGAGTACATCATCAGCATTTCCCAAATTACGTATTTTGTCAACCTTCCTAGAAGGGGTGTAAATTTGGAGCAAAAATTCACTAATAAATGCTTGAAGGTAAAATAATGTAGTTGGGTAACATAACGGTGCAAATAACGATATGGATGTAGCCTCGACAGAATACCATGCAGATACTCAATTGCTTGAAATGTAGTGGACAATTTTCCTCCAAATTAAAGTCTGTACGGCTGTTTAACGAATATAAGTTTGATCGAAGTAAAACAACGCTAACATCCAGAAATGACATTTGATAACGAAGGATGAGTTCAGAGATGAATATCACAGGCAGCATAACACCACCACCACCACCACCACCACAATCGGTTGCCAAAGGCTTTAGCAAACGGCCATTGGCTGTGTAGGTCATCTTTTATCACACGTTTTGTACATAAAGCGAGGTTGTCGCCTAAAAGCCCTCAGATTGTTGTACCTACATTTATCAACAGTGACTGTTCCAACCCACACGTGGACCCACCAAGGAAACAGAAGATGAAGGCGTGGTGGGGCAAGGTGAATGTCGCGTGTCGTCTATAGCCTGACAGTTGTTTACATTAGGTCTGGTAGCCAAAAGTGTCTTCCGTTTTCGCAGGCATAGCACCTGTAGTCTGCGAAATCTTGTCACTTAAAGTTGCCATTCTGGGTCCATCTGCGAATAAATTTCGAAGTTTTGTGTCATATTGGAATAAATGAAGAAACTGATTGCAAGAATAAATCAAATTTGATAAATTAATAACAGCAGTGCTAGAATTTAAATTTTTGTTGCGACACATCAAAAATCCTAATTTTCCCACTTTTTGCTTTCCAGGAATACTTCATTGTAGTCGCATGAAGCTCACAGACTATAGTTAAGGCTGGAGATTTCCAAGGTAGTGGAGATTTTTTCAGAAGTGTTTCACTAAGAATTACCACTAGTGAGAGCGGTAACGTGATAGCAATGATGCAAAATGGTCCAATATAGTTTTACGTTGCAAAACCTCACTCAACCCCATCTATGGATTTAGCAAAACTTGCAGGAAGAAGGTGCTTATACACAGCGTGCACTCAAATGCATTTCTTAACAATTATCCACCGCGCACAAGATTTCACTCAACAAGACAATAAAACATGGACCGGGTATCCGTTGCCTCAAAGAGATTTTCCCTGTGTTAATGAAATATACTGCTTTTTATTTCTGTCAGGTCTCTTCATTATGGCATATAAATTAAAGCAGCGAATGAAAGGTCAGTTTGAAATTCCACAATCGGGCCTACTTAAATCAAAATGCCAGTTGCCCTGACATGACAAATTCGCACATCCATTAACGTACTCAGATTATAGTGGAGAGCCCGTTGCAGGTGACGAGGAAACTTGTCTTTTGTAAATACGTGTTCTACGACTGAATCAGGCCACAATGACATTTGCCTCCCCTTCGGCATCCAAATTTTCGCAGACTGTGACGGATTTTCAAAAGATTAACAGTTTCACCTAAAGGTGGTCTTTTGTTACCTTGACCAAAGGAGAGAGTTCCATCTTCTCATGCTTCACATGAAAAGTGAGACACGACATAGCCTCATTGTCATAATCAGAAAAGACACTGAAAATCTCGATATCCTATTTACGCATGTGGGTGACAGTTTTAGCGCACACCAATTAGGAGGAAATCTGTAATGGTCTATTCGCACACATCCATTCTTAATGAATAGAGATAGGGCGAGAGGTCGAGTTTTAGCAACAAGATGAAGAGCCTGAGAGATTCCAGCCAGAGTTTTAATGGATACCCCGAATTCCCTTAAAGGTAAAATTAATTGACTATGCACACATTCACTTTAATTAAGCTGAATATGGCTGACTTAAAGCACTTAGTAAACCATAGTTCACAACAAATTCTGGAATTATACAAAGATTAGGCACATTGTGAATCAGAAGAGAGGTATCTCTTATCACACGATGGCCACGTTATGTGAATGCTATCGGCAATAGGTGGTGCAACAAGTAGTACATTTACAATTATGAACTAATCCTGATTTTCAGTGCTTTTTCGTACTTTAGAGACATTAAAATTTACATTTAGTTGACGAATGCCCTAGTTTAATGCGCGTTGCAAATAAAGCACAATGAAATAGCGCACGTTGCAACTCTATAATAAACAAACACAAATAAGAATAGACAAGAAATCTAATTTGACAATTAAACACGTACACAAGGACCTAAATTACATATGATGCAGAGATAGATCTAATTTACAGTAACTGCTTGGAGTCCATTTAAAGTCTTCTTTACCTAACTGCCCTTCTAAATGGTCTAATTATTTAGGCATCCTTGTATTTCTATACAAATTTTTGAACCTTCAAGAAAATTTGGTCAAAAATAGTTTGCCTGATCTGTAATCAAAAACTCGTTTAACGAGACGTAGGGAAATGTCATTTTTGCTGCATACATTTATAAAATAGGCATTGTAAATCGCTCCTTCAATTTTTTTGATGCTTAAAGAAATATCCTGCAATACCCGTGCAGTTGGTTGAATGCTGAAGGTATTACAAATGAGCTTGGACCCTCTTATAACTTTCCAGAATTTGGTATGCACCTAAAGAGAGCAGATTCCGTTTTCGCATGATGCGTGAACACACACACACGCAAACATCAGGTGTATCCACGAGGCTTTCTGGGCTGGAGGTAGAAGCGGGCGCGTTTTCATTGGCTTGCTACACTTAAACATTCGCCGAGCTAATTCGTCAGCCACCCCGCCCCTCAGCTTATGCTAGCCACCGCTATTGTCGTCTAACATGAAGATTTCATGTTTAAGAACGTCACGGGTCTTCAAATGTGGAATCAACACAGTGAAATATAAATTACGTAGGTTTTCTCTGCAACAAATAACCTTTAATGTTCAATAATTTGCCTTCGTCTGGTTCTGAGCTCCTGCTTTTTTGGACTATTATCCAGTGGCTTTAATTGTTGTTCAAACAGCATTCAGATGTTCTTTTCCTACTTTATTGAATACTTTCTTTGGTTACCTTGTATTCCTCTTCTATAGAACAGGCAAAAAATTGCAGGCCGATATAAATTATTTTATCAAAAGGCGAAGTAGATAAAAGAATTGGTAAAATTCAAAATTGAATTAGGTTTGGTAATCAAGCTCAGCGCTTTGACTAAAACAGTTTTTAAAATGAAAACCCCTATTCACGACACAGATAAGCATTTATCATTTAATTTCTCATGGTACAAACGTAACTGGCAAAGGCTTTCTGAGGCCTCAGTAGTACTGATTGCGTCATTTTAAATCATTTTTTTCGTAAAACGCATGCAATTTGTCACCTTTAGCGGCATTCAACAAACCTTGTATTTATTGCCTAGAGTTAACTTAATGAAGCCAAGCATCGCAAATAAATAAGTTTTCGAGTGTCTTTTTACACATGAGTTCTAAAAAGTTGAACTTCATAATAAGCAAAGGCCTTTATGAAAGTGTTCCATGAAAGTTGCTGTGTTGGCTTAGAATTTGGGCACTAAAAGCACATTTTGTAGTAGGCGATCATCGACCTTGATTGGAAGTTTGGGCAGAATGTGTGTTTCCAGTAAAAAAATTACTGCATGCTCACAGGTTTGCTGTGCGCTGATCGGTGATCAGCGTGTGATCTTAAAAAAAATTGGCATTGATTTAGTTTGACTGATATGTGCAGTAAACATTTTTATTTCAACAGCATGCGAGTTGAGACAACAAAATCTGTTGAATATGAGGCAAAATATCAAAGAAAGTAGTATATAACCAAAAACTAAAAACAGCGGAGATTAAATTAATTGAAAGCAATGAAAGGACGGTTTCTTTTTGTTCTAAGTACACATCTTTACATACTTGGGTAGATGTGGTTAAATGAATACTGCCATCACATTTAAAAAAACTATTTAGACAAAAAGCAAAGGCCAAAACTGTTATAAAAGACTTTTACAGATTATTTAACACTAAGCATTTTCGCCCTAGATTTTCATCAGCTATGGTGTTTAACATGAGTTCTAAATTACTGCTCTAGTCCAAATTTCTTTTCTACCTCGGTTAAATAAAACTTATCTCACTAGGCAATTGTGAAACTTTAACACTTTATCGGTTTATTCTGAAATGTTTTAAATTGCTCTGATAAAACACCTTGACTACCATTGGAATCGTAACTCCAGATCCAATAGCAACTAATAAAAATTTCGACCGTTAAATTGAAGCAATCAGAAGTAGGATATTTTGGTGTGGTTCTATCCACCAAATTACTTACAGAAGATTAAACCGCTTCAGCTGGGACCATCCTCTGAGGGTTTAATAGACATCAGGTTCGATTCTCCAAAGGACTTTTCATTCACCACGGCAGCACCATTCGCGTGTCATGCAGTTCTTTGTGGCCATGCGGATCGCCACTGTCGATCGTGTTTTATTTACATGAAGCTATTTGCAAAGGGAGTTGTAGAAATGCTTTAAGGAAGATCACATGTAACAATGGACTTCTATGTTTAGAGTAGAGACCCTGGATTACTATGCTTAGTGTTGCTTAAAATTCCGGTTGAAGTAAGGTCACTTTATGTTGTAGCCTTGTGAACTGGTGTTGGGAGGACATCGAGGTTATTAAATGGATGTTTGGCCAGTTATACTTTTTGTTAACCTCCAAATGCAGTCGATTCTCCTCGCGTTCTCCGCGTCTACCTCCGCTTTCGCCAACGAAGACATTCGTAACTTTCCTTGCCGTTTTCATCGGCTAGATATTACTCACTGTGCAAGCCAGTACCAAATCTCGCGGATTCCCGACGAAACTCAAAGTTACGGATTCGGGTTTGGCTCGGTAGACGATGCCGAAACAATGTGCAAGTAAGAACATTCTAACCTTTCATTCTCCCAACTGTGACTGGTGATGACTTGAAGTAGCCAATGAAACTAGAGAACAGAGGGGTCCGTGAGATTCGCCACTCATTCAGCAAGAAAGATTTTGTGCATCACTGTTTGCCGTTTAATTAACGAAAATCGTTTGCGCATTGCATTCTATTGAGCAAAAGTCTATGCATGAGCGTCTAAACACTAGAAGTTAAACAGAGACAATTGCACTTAAAAGACCAATCTCGAACAGTTATGAGGACCTGTCATCTGGGGTCGCCAACCGATAAACACCCACCTAATGTCTTGAGTCATGTGTGCAGGAATGAGCAACCTATTTATTATGACTTGAATATCCAGTAGGTAAAAGTGTTCCCGAAAAAATTGTAGTACCAAGTAGGACAATTTTCAAGTTGAATTATCTTAAGTCAACGTCCAAGTCAAATAATAGTATTCGAATTAATACGATATACGATGACACGAACAAGTGACACTTGACCATTTTTTTAAATAAAACGTTCATGGTGGTATAAAACGATTAATTGTTTTTTGTCACAAATTAAACGAGCTATTGGTCATTTTAATCTCATTATTTGCGTTGTAGGCATGAGAACTGTCGTTTTTTGACATTTGGATTGTTAAAAACTGCACTTAGGACCTGCGCAATAAACTCTGGATTAAATAATAATTCCAAAGTTCCAATGTTTGTCAAATGATGGAATTCTGTGAGTGAGGAAAACGCTTAAATCGCGTCGCGAGGATAAAGTGCACTAAAAGATGTCAGCCTTTGTCTGACGACGATTTGATATAAAGAACGTGGTAGATTTAGCATTTGCACCTCTTCATACGCAATGAAACTGATTATTTGCGCCCTAGTGCTCATCACTATAATTGCAAGCAATTAATAAACATTATAATCTATTTGTCAGATTGTGGTTAACCAGGCTGTTAAAATAACTGGGTGGTACTGATCAAGTACCCACTCCACCAACTTTTCATTTAGGTAAATTCATGCCATCCGTTTTATTCCCGCCTGAAAGAAATATCCAAATGTTCCTTTTTCTGAAACATGCCCTGCCGTGTTGCTGCTCAAGAATGTATCGTTGTGCAAGTATGAGGCTTTTCGGATTAGCTGAAAAATGTTGTTCGATGTGCTAACCTCTGTGCGTAGTTTTCTTCCCATGACGAACACAACTACCATTTGCTTTGGGTTCGTTTTATAAAGATTAACTACTTCAAATATGAATGGTTCAAAGGAATGTGCAAAATAAAAGGTAATAAATCGCTTATGAGAAAGTGTGGCGAAGAAAGAATAGAGGTAGATTTCTTGAAGAAATTTTGATAGTCTTATGCTCCACACAATTCGAGAGCCACGAATGCAATTTTTAAACGGGCTTTAAGTCCTGCAGACGTGGCTTATTCCTAAAAGAATGCACCCTAATAGACAGCAGTCGTGCAAACCTACTTGGAAAAGTGAAGTTCGAGTTGAAAGCTCTCTTTAAGTGTAGCATTTATTACTACACAGCCGTGATGAAAGGCTAATTTGCTTATCCACCTTTGGTTAGACTTCACTGTGGCCGAAGCATGTGTTTCCTGCGGCGGTTTAAAAAATGACGCGTGCTTCCACTTTTCAGAGTTAGGCCCATCCTTTTGTTGTTTCAGTAGCCTTCTCCATATGGGCCAGTTAAAGCGCACAAACCCCTTTGGCTCGTCAAAAACGTATTTTTAGATTATCTGTTATTATGAACGCATATAAACTCGTTTATCTTCATCAGTCAGTCTAAGTTTGTTTTTCCCTGAACTTTCAACGAGTCTGTTTAGAGCCGCAGTCAAATAGGTGCACACCTTTGAGCAGGGTGAAAAGCGAGAATATTTCTTTCGATATTTTCTTTGGCGCCATTAAAATATCATGTAGAATTGCAATTTCTTCTAAAATTTGTAGCTTAGGCATATTTTTAGGTTTGTAAGATGCGGAATTGCAAGCTCTCCGGGATGAGGACTCAATGCAAACGCAAAAAGAGCTTGCATGTCAGTTAGGAGTCACCCAAACAGCTGTTTCATAGCGTTTGCGTCAATTAGAAAAACTTTAAAAGCTAGGAAGTTGGGTCTTGCATGTGTTGACCGAACACAACCTGCGTCAACTTATGAGTACATAACTTTCACTGCTTTCGTACCGGCAACCAAAAAGGACTTCGTGTGGAAAATTGTGATGGGTGATGAAGCGTATTTTTTACGAGAATCTCAAACGTAAAAGTAATGGGTAGATCTCGGGGAACCCAGTACATTGACTCCGAAACACGATGTCCACTTGAAGAAGCTACTCCTGTGTTTCTGGTGGGACATGAAGGGCGCACTTTACTACGAACTCCTGGAAAGTGGTCGTCAGACGGTGACTACAGAACGCTACAGCCGACGATTGAACAAACTGAGCAAACAACTTGCTTAGAAAGGGCAATTTACTGTTCAAGAAAGCAGGCAAGTCATACTGCTGCATGATAACGCTTGGTCTCAACTCGACTATTGACCGAGATGGGAACTTCTCCCACACACGGCATATTCACTATACTTGCCCCCATCCGCCTACTATTTGTTCCGGTCAGTGCAGCCGCACGCCTTAGTGGATAAAGAGGTCAAAACACTGGACAATGTGCGCTCATTCGTCGATGACTTTATTGCTTTGAAACGGATATTTTTACGTTAGCCGAGAGATGGCGTAAGGTCTTAAAAGACGATGAGCAATAGTTCCAACATTAAACTCGCTGTTCTCTATTTTTACACTGGATTAAATTGTTGAAAAATCTATGCAAATTATGCAATGCATCTAAAATTTTAAAATAATCGACGATGATAACTAAACGCTATCTCAAAATTAACCTTGAATATGTAATCAGACACTAGTAATGAGCATGTTTACAAAAGCCCTTAATCGAGCTCAAACCTCTGTCCACAGTAAAAACAAGATATTTCAAGCAAAATCTGTTATTTTTAATTGCTTCTGTCGAGAACACCCCATTTGCTTTCTCCATCCCATAGGTAAGACATACAAAATGCAAGAGAGGCATGAGGCCGACACTCAAAACAGAAAACCCTTTTGATATAGATTATTTGGTAATGCCCTAGCCCAAAGGATCACGTCTTAGGTTAGGTATCTGCATGAATTAAGTACGTAATTACATACCCCTGAATGGGTGTTGCAAAGCCTTCAAATAGTTTATTAAAATAATTTAATGAATGTGCAAAACCTCAGATTCACAAAACCTAAAATACACGCGAATTCACTTTTCACTGACTGAACTACTTTGTACCTGTTTTAATTTACTTTATTTTGGCCCAATATATAGTGTTACTATAAATGTTTCGGCTTAAATTTTTCCATAGTTTATAATGTTAACACACACACGGAGCTAATAACTGGTGCCTAGCAAATATGAAGTTGATCAGCATAGTTAAATTTGCAGTTGGCAAAGTGCGGTGAATGGGGTTGGTATAATTCACTTGGAAATGCCTTTAATGCACCCGCCTATATCAAAATGATTTGCATAATATTTGCGCAAGTGTTTATGCAGAACATTTGACCGTTCATGTGCTTGATGATGGTGCCGCAAATAAGCGCTTATGATGTGGCAGTGAACAAGAAATAAACTAGTTTGACCAAAATACACTTTGTCGTTTTTATATGTTTAGTGGGCTTCATTTACTGACGTCATTCTCTCTATTAGCGTCATGCTGTTCCAAACTCAAAAATGGCTAAGAAGCTGTTAGCAAAAGATCAAAAGCATTGTACGTGTGTCAGAATTATACGTGTTTGCATTAAAGAGAATTTAGATTGTCACAGTGTGTGATAGATTTACGTAGACTAATTATTGTAAGACTCATCTAGACTAGCATTATGTGAGACCGGAATTTTATCCAAATACTCACAGCCATTTACTCGTTTAAATGTTTTAAGCGAATACTTGACCGGGTTTATTCTCTTCACTATACTGTAGTTGTCAATCTTGGATAGTTGCGAAATTGTTGCACAGCCTCAAAAGCCTTACATTATTACTGGAGACAACTTCGTCACCTTTAAAGGTAGTGCTCTAATGTTTTTCAAGCAGGAAAGGTGGAAAATATCGACTTTCGATTTCCTTAGTCAACCATTTATTTTAATTGAAATCGATTGAACAATATAGAGATTGGTGCCGTCAATTTTCAGGGGTAATTTGCCTGACAGCAAATAAGTACCACAACTTCACAAAAATTAAATAGTTAAAAAGGGTACAGCCTTCATTAGCCCACTTAAGCACTATAGTAACCGTTAAACCATCTCTGCATCATTTGCCCTATAAGGTTCTCATTGTCAACCGTAGTGTTACGACCACTGAATGCATTTCCCAAGCAGTGATTTGAAAATAATTACTTTTTAATACTTAAAAATGCACTTAAATTTTCTAAAGGCAGTAAGCAAAGAAAATCGGTCAATTTACAGAGAACGCTGTGTTGTAAGGACTATAACACTAGCGAGGTCTTTGATTAATTAATTTGTGACTAATCGGTAAATCGTAATATTTTTGCTATACGAGCAGCTGGTTCTTTGAATTGTGTAAATTAATACACAGTGCTATATCCACTTGACTTTTATCATTTTAGCAAACATGAACTATGAAATTCATTGGCAATCTTCTCAATTTGGAAAACGAAGCACAATTTCTAGTGTTATCTTATAAGAAGCATTTTCTAAACCCATTGAACTCCAGGGAGTCTCGGGGATATTTTACGTGATTGATTACCATGTAGGTTTAAATGATGATTCGTATCCAACTATCTTTTAGGTCAAAGTGGCACTTACGCGTACAGGTTTGCATAGGCGACAGAGTTATCCAACGCTGTCTTGAACACGGGGCCTCAGAGTTCCAACTCTCAATGTGGCGATTCATCTTCGATTCGCGGCCTCACGAAAGGGCCGCCAACTACCTCTGTAAACCACACAACATGAAAAGTAAGCCTGAATCACAACTTCGTCTGAATTTGCGAGATGATTAGTGTTACAATCTAGCCTCTTCTTAAAGTTTAATTGCAAAAGCCTAAAACAGGCTAATGGATGGTGCAATAAAGCCATATTGACACCGAGAAGATTGTTTCAGGCATAGGCCTGAAAATAAAGTTTTACGACTCACAAGTGCTTTAAGTGGTCTTGGTCATTAATAAACGGTTAAAATAATGAATTTACGAAACATTCGTTAGTGCGCTTCCATGTTTTTTGTGTTATTGCGATAACAAACCTCAACCAAAAGCGTAATGACATTAGAAAATGGCCTAAACTCGACTAAAATAAGAGTTGGTTTGAAAATGGTAATTAAAGTATCCTACTTTGGATCAGTTGCTCTTATTAAATATTAGCGTTAAAGATTTGTTCATTGCAACGCGTGTTTACAAGAGAGGACCCTGAGACCAATTCAGGGAAACAATTTTATATCTAAAGAATTCCGTGACACGAGGCCAGCGACTCATGCTTGAGACACTCTCGAGGACTTGCATTCAATTTTTTGTCGAATGACTCACCACACACTGCCAAAATACTGGAGCAAAAATTCTCAAACGTATACAACAAATCCTGGTGAATGTTAGAATTCAAGCCATTTAAAATACCAATAGTGCAGTGGTGTAAGTAAGACCCAACTCTTCTTGTGGTGTTCGGCCAAGGTACAACCCAGCATTCAAGAGATGCATAGCTTATGCTGTTGTGTATTCGGTTTAAGCGTGTCTCAAAACGAAACTAATTGTGTATTGGTTGCGATGGTGGCTTCGTAGGATTAAGGATTACACTTGCTTTATATTTTTTTCGCTGTCCCTTTAGGTCAGAACGAGCAGTATTTTTATCGATCTTCAAGTGAGATCTGCTTTCGCATTTTTTTACTATTATACACCCATTGGAAAGAATCCACGGTGTTCAATAAATATTCACAATAACCTACAATGTGAATACCGTAGAATCGTCTTATGCATTTGTACCGGTTTTTTAATTTTAAAAATTTATCCCATTTTAGTGGATTATACTATTTCAGAAGGGTCTTTTTCACCTACACCAAATAAAAATGTATAGGAGTTCAAACTAATGCCGATGAAATTTATACGCATTTTAGACTGTCTGATGACACAAAGATATGAATTTAGTGAACTGATTAGTCAGTTTTGCCATGATGACTATACGCTTAAAAGGCATAAAATTCACTTTTTCTATACGTGATTTGGGTTTAAATTATCTGACATCCTGCATAGTCAATTCCATAATACAAGCCTTGGATATGATGAAGATTAACGCATAATTTTGGCAGACATTATTGAAATAAAAGAATTTTTTTATCTAACTTATGGAAGAAAACTTTCTTGCTCGTGGATGGTAAAAATCCATGCTAAATATTTTTAATATCACATTGAAACAAAGCAAAATATTATGCACACCGCAAATGATTATGCACCACGATCGGAACGGTGGTTTTAACCGCTATATTGTTTCGTGATAAAAACCTGTTTGCTTTATTTGGTGAACATTAGACTACGGGGCAGATGACATATCCAAAATGTCAAAATGCATCCTAACACAGCAAGAAAGGGTAAATAAACAAACTGTCACCAAGGCAGGAAGAAAAATGAAGTTTTGTATAACAGACCTTTAGTTATACTCCAGTTTATGTTTCCATAGTCAACCAGAATGAATAGCAGGCCGTAGTGTAAGCGGCATGAAAGTTATGTACCCCTAACAATAATTGCTCCTGTTAGATATTCAAATTTAAAATCCAGTGGGCTTATAAAATCCTTTTTCTTCACCAATAAAACAAACTTCCACCATTTAAGGCGTCTCTATTATTTCATGCATTTTGTTATTCTGAAAGCAACATAGCCATAATGTTTATTGAGGCCCATTGCAACACGAAGTAACCCAGGAAGAAAATAAGCCCAGAGATGGCAGGCACGACTGTTTACTAGATAGCTCGAGGTAGTTGTGTGTGTTTACTGACACAGTCGAGTGGACATGTAAAAATACACACTGGCGTCTGTGCTGTCACATGAATAAAGCGGATGGTGGTGGTGGGACCTGCAGAGGGGTCAATGAACCGGCGACCTCATGTGACCGACGAGCACGCCGTGAAAAGTGGGGACATGTGTTGCAGGCTGCGACGACTAGGTTATTGGACGTGAATCAATGGGAATTACTACATGTTCATATTCGGTAGTTCGTTATGTTCGAAAATGGCTTTAATTACATCCTGTTCCGACCACCCAATCAACTGTACCATACAGGGTCTTACCGCTTCTGAAGCCTGTTTGCTGTTTTATGTTTTGCAGTAAAGCGTCGGCTAGCCTTTCTAGTGCGCTGAAATTTAAATAATCGATGCAGTTCTAGGTTAAGTCATGTTCCTTAGAAAAACAAAATCGATTTCAATTCCGATATCTTATCCAATAATAGGTTACTCAATACATCCTTAAATTGGCAACAATTTCTAAATCATTGAGTGCAAAGTTGGCAGATGCGAATTTCCTGATTGAAAGTCAGGTCATTCTGCTGTACTCTTTCAACTTTACCCGTCTTAATGGAAAAAACCACGGAAACATTGATGAACATGCGCAAACTAGCGACGGCACAACATACTCTTTTTCTCTGCATTGGACATTTGAGGTTTTTATTGACTAAATCTGGCTTCTGATGTGTTAGACACCTTAAAATCATTCGGAGAAAAGTAAGAAATGAGCAAAGATTGTTTTTATATTCAAAAAATATTCTTGATTTCTGGATCATGTCATTCTCGAGAGTGATTTGACAGTCTTGTAGCACATTGCTGGCTTCGAACAGAAAAAAATCGATGAAAGTAACCTGAATATGGTGAATTTGTGTACAAAATAGGTCAGTGCAAAATTTTTAAGCACTTCTAGGAGTTTTGATTTTTATAGTCATGAAGCTATGCTAAATTGTCAACTCTGAACATTTTAATAACTCTAATATGAAAATAGGTTTTACTGCTTGTGTTAATTTTGAACCTAAAAAATAAAATCAAGTCAATTGTGATAAGGAAATAATTTCACAGAATTACTTAGGGTTGTCATCTTTCTAAGATAAATATGCGATCGATAAAAAGAACCACTGGAGTTGTCTGACGACTTTATAAAATGCATAATTCGCCTCTCTGACTTAAGCCATTGAATTCTATTTAACGCTTAAAGTATCACATTAAATGTTCAAGTCATTACCAATATGACTATAGAGTGAAACGAGTTTAAAACCGCTTAAGAAAGCAGTTTTGGTCAAATATTTCCATGGAGATAAATTTTTTTCAAAATGGAAATGTGCACCTTATTCAGTGGTTCAATGAATGTGGATTTTGTGTTCGCCTTATCATACAAGACTTCCGTATATTATCGCATAACCTTTTTGGCAGTAAAAATATTGTCGCATAGCGAATAACTCAGACAGAGACTATAGCTGCAAACGAAGATGAGATTTTGCATGAGGATAATCTATGCTCTCTACGACTGTCCCAGTCTTTCGGACACACCGCGAGCAGTGTTTCAAGCCGCACGAGGCCGGCGCCAGCGTCTGCTCGCAGCGCCAGTCGAGGGAGTTGGCGCGGGCCACGGCGCTTCTCGCCTCCCGCACCGAGGACGTCCCACGGGCCAGCGAGGGCGGTGGCGGTGACGGCGCACACGACGACGACGACAACGACGCCGACGCTGGCAGAGACTCACTTGCCAACGACTACGTGGCGTACATCCAGCAGCAAATCTCAGCAGCGCACTGTGAGTAAGTTGATTATTGTAAACTTTACAATATTTGTCCGAAAGCTGTAACTTCTGCAGTTAGTGAAATTGACTGGCTTGGTATGCTTTAGAGTAACGTGTACTTTTTCTAGGTTTATGTGTTTGAATTGAGATCAAAGCGATCCAGGTGCCACTTTAATGTTTATTAACGATTTAACCTAGTACTGATAAAAGTGAAATTATTCTGGCATAAAAATACATGCTGGCTAATAACTCATGCTTTATAGCATCAAATAAAATTTATGACTGTAGAGGGTATTTTTAGTCTTGCAAAATTTCAGCATTATAGTACATCACATTTTTAATAAGTAACTAAATGCGTTATCACTAATTAGGCCCTAGTTTCTTTTAGTTAGGAACATTACGTAGTGTTAGGTTCGGTTTTGGATCAACAAAATTTTGAGTTTAGCCGATTCCCATGCCTATGGATTATGTCTGGTTTGACCTCTCTGAACTCCTGAAATTTATCCATAAATGACTAAATGAATCGATACGGAGTTCAAATATTTCTGTTTAGGTCACTCCTCGTTGGTGGAGATGCTTGACCACACAGTAAAGTGATGTGGCTGAGTAGATAATTTAATTTCTGCTAAAAGTGGATTTAGTGCTGGATAAATGCAATGCCTGTTAGTGTCTAAGTACACAGGAAGTTCCGATGAGATGATACACACTCAGCCCCGCCTTGTTTTGAGTTGAGTCTTAGTCTAGCTTGCCGTGTTTAGCGCCTTCTTGCTTTTTTTATTTCCTATGGTCCACCGAGTATCTAAAGGCTAAATTAACATGAAACATTTATCAAACCAACCATTGGAGTATGAACATCTCGCAAGGAAAGCTCCTAACGCACTGGTGCATGGCCAGCTTTCGAGCAGTCCGACAGCGCCAGCCACTGCGTGGGCACCGGCCCCGCAAGCGCTACTTGGGAGAATGAAAGGGGCCTGAAGAGAGGAAGGGAGATTTAACAAGCATTCGCTCATAATGTCCTTCTTTGACTCAGTTCCCCGCTTTCAGTAAAAATTAATGCGCTTTCGGCATCATATTCAGACGCCCACTAATAGGTATTCACCTCATCGTTACCCTCGCGAAACATCATTCACAATAGGTGAGCCTGGGTTCCCTAAGGCATGATCTCGAAATATTAATCCCCTAACAGTCACTTTCAACCATGATAAAATTTCGGTCAGTTCAGACTAGTTATTAAGCTTTGGCTAAGTTACCTTGAGTCGAATCTATTCCGCCCTTTTTCTACGTTGCATTGCCCTGAAATTTAAGTTGACGCCAGATATTATTTGACTTTATGATTTTAAAAACTTGAGCAGAATTGATTGTTAACTTCGGGTGTGAAATAGTTATGCATATCAGATAAAACTTTACTGCAACCGTAACTTGCAACTGGCTGATCAAAACAGCGATTATTTTTACATTCTCGTTTTCGCAGCACTTCGAAAAATTAAACCGATTGAGTTTTTTTTTGCATTTTGTTGCGTTCCAAAATAAATTAACTAAACTGATCCACAGTGCTCAAAGCGATCATCGCTCTTTATTAACAGCAACATCGAAAAGAAAACACCAGGAGCGAATTTTTATGCAAACAAACGAGAACTTTGATTCGAATCGACATTTTTTCCTGAAATGAAGATTTATGTGCTCCTTATTGAGAGGTCAGTTGGATATCACATGAAATTGGGTTTCATCAGTTGTTATTCAATTGTTTTATTTCATTTCGTGGGTACCTAAGGTTTAGACTGGACACAATGCGCATTCTGATGGAATACATTCTGTTCAGAAAAACCACACTTTATTTAAAACTAGCAAATGTGTAATAGGGATTGGAGAATTTTCGGCACCGTGGCTGATTGCGTTGAGGTGAATGCAATTGGGTCACGGTCATTTACTGGCTGCTCTACTTCATTCACCCCCTAATTTAATTTGTCTGGCATCATCAAGTAACATGTCACAGATCTGTTTCGCACTATTTGTTTTTGTAAACACAAGGTGTGATGACAAAGGGGGTTAAAACAAGTCAAAGTTTTAGCAATAGCCATTGTCTTCGTCCTTACTGTGATTAGATTCAACAACAACCTAAATAACAACTTAAGCCTGATATTTCACTATGCCAGACTCCGTTTAGAGATGAATGAACTCGTGGCTAATTGGAAATTACACTGGAGATTTTTCTCAAAAGCGGTTAACAAGTGCGGCTTGGTGGGGTATCGATAAAAAGGGACTTGACCTTGAGAACTTGTTCAATTGCAAAAGTCTCTAATTATCCGTTGTTGCAAAGCTTGAAGATAAATAACTCATTAGGAAGCAACGCATGTTACACATCAACATGCAACAAATAAAATTTTGCTAAAAAAATGAGCTTTGCTTAATTTTGTGGGATCACTTGGAAACAGTTCTGCTCAGTGCCTTCTGTCAACATTTACAATTAGTCCTAATGGTATGACAAATTTAAGGTCTCGCTCTTAGCCCCATTTGTGTCCATAGTGTAGTTCTTACTTATGAAATGTCGCGCTTAATATATTGAAAGTTATTTGCTCTAATTAAGCTATCCTAAAGCTACTCTATCGCAATCACACGATTAAGACCAAACGCTGGCATGCTGGTTAGTTTACGGTGAACAATTAAAAGTTGCCCAATTGTACAGCCCTTCCTTCTTAAAAGTATAATTTTTGTCACCATTGGATTAGCAGGCTATAAATCAGGTGACGACGTATTTATTAATCAAAGTAAATTAGGCTTGCAGCTTGTTTGTTTACCTAGACCGTCCTTCGATTTTGTTTGTTAAAGTTAAAAATGACTTGAATTCAAAGCTTGTCACAGAAACAACAAAATCTTTGAGGATTGGTGCCGCAGGGCGGGCGGTTCCTGACTGGATAAACCAACGCGTCCCTAATGGCTAATATTATTCTTCATTATGCTTCTGCCCATACTGCAAGAGTTAAGCGACTATTTTCAACTTAATGTTCTATGTAAAACCGAATTTTATTTTTCAGCGCCTTGCACAATTTGTGTCAGCTTTTGACTTCAAAAAGGCACCATCGCCAAACGAAAACCATTAGCTAAAGTCGAACCGAAATGTGTCGAATGCAGGATGTGTGCGAATTCGGCTTATTGAAAGTGAACAACTGTTTCTAATACTTTAGTTTGACCACAAGTCATAGCTAAACATTAAAACCCGTGGCTACTAACTCAATACAAACACTCAACAACTAATGTACAGGAGACATCACCTTATCGCATGGATGACGGGATAAATAAATATTTTATCTTCGGTTACGTGGGAAAGGAAAATTGCTGGTTTGGGGTGTTAGAAATTCCATAGTTTGTAGCAACTTATTAGCAGTGCATTTTGCTATTGATTTTTCTAATCACAGCATTAGTGGCAGGGTTTCACGTTAAGGCCATCCTAAAATGCACTCTTACCTGATGCCACTATCGATTCCCAAAGCGATGGGTTCAAAATCAGTTTTAGATTGTTCTCTATGTAAATTTTACGTTTAAATCTCCTGTCAACCTTGGCGAATGTTATATTTTAAGACCGTCCAAGGAACAATTAGCTGGGTGTTTATCAATGCAAATTTACACTATCTCTCAAGAAGCTGCAATCTTTTTATCAGTGTACCTTATCTGCTCTCACGCTGCTTAAATATTTTTTTAAAATGCCCCTTTGAAGGTAGATCGATAGACAAGCTAAGTTCACCAGATACACTAGCTGTTATTGCCTTATGTCCTCCTCGAGAGCTCAATTTCTGTAGATAAATTCGTACGTTCCGAACGCGAGGTTATCCGTTTTTCGAACGAATAGTTTGGTCGGCGATTCTTTTAGCAACAATGCAATGGTTTTAAAAAAACTGCCTCGTATATTTATGTGCTATATTGTAGAAGCCTGTTGTTTTGCTCAGGTTAATGTTTTCTTTATAGCGCGGGAATTTATGCAGATGCCATATTTGTAGATAACATGTTAGATTAAGTTGTCTTATGCTGTGTTCATGTTTCTTCATATAATACATAGTTTGAAATTTCCCACAATTTTATCTCGGTTTTGTGTTTCTCAAGGCAGTGTTCCTTAGCACGCTTCAAGAGAAATGATCGAGGTATTTGCATTTTAACTACGTGATCTGGAGTTTTGTACCACTATTGCCGGGCTTCTGTTTCATTGATCAAAGAGTTTTGCAAGAATACGCAAGTTAAAACAACCATCCACACGTGCGTTTTTTTAAAGCGGGATAAAATAAACCAATGACGCCCGCGTCCTCAGTTGTGCGAAGTTTTTTCCGCCCCTCGATTGCGATTCATTGAACCTGGTCTTGTGCGCAAAATCATACTACTGAATGTACCATATTTACTTATGTGGGATTGTGTTTTGTTTTGAGTGATCAATAAGAACTCCAAAATTATTTTTCAGAATCTTATAGCAAAGAGCCGTTTGACTGTCCTTCTGAATGGACAGGATCCACACAAGTACGCCACTAGATGAAACCAAATTGCTGTCTAAGGGACATTCCTGGGGTGCAGTCGGTTTATTAACCGCGTTCACATCTATAAAAGTAATTAAAGGTTAATTTTGCCTAATTAACTTAAGTTGGCGCCACACGTACGGGCAAACCCCTGAATATGGTGGAATGGTATTAGTTGCTCCCAAGTTTCTAAGCATCGTGTTGCAGGCACACCTTCCCTTGAATCACGACGTTGGTCGTATTCCACAAATTTTGAACCGCTTTTATGCATTTTCAACTTAGAATAAAACCACTAAAAACTTTTCGAGTCACTTTCTATTCTGCATTCCTGAAGCCTAGTTTTATGAAGTGAACCTGTGCTTTTGATGTCCTGATTCAGCTATGTCCGAAGGCTGCTGTTTCACCCGAAATTGCCTTTTTATTGACTGAGTGGTTATGTTTAGACAGCTTTACTGATGGCCGAGTCACATGCGCTGGGCTTTGACAACAAAAACGCGCACCCCACATCGTACCCTCGGCCGCCTTCTCCACCACCCCGCCTCCCCGCGTCCCCGTTTCTGGGCCAGTGGGCAGCAAGGCCTAGAGCCTGACGTTTGACTTGGCCAAATGTCAGGCCGCAGTATTTTAAAAACGAAAATGCAATATCGGAGGTCGTGTGGATAGAGACATGAGGATGAAAAACAAGATGCGGTGGCACGATTTCCAAAAACACCATGTACATGGACAAAAACACAAGGGTTCCATGGACAAAGAACCTTCAAATGATTTTTTATCATGTCCCCACAAACAAAAGTGCTAATGCAGAAGAAATTAGCAACCCAACTCTATGCATAAGGGTTATTTTACTTCGTGATGGTAAGAAATCAATATCCACCTCGAGAGTCGATATACTTGGAACCCCTCTACTCATGTCTATTAACTGATTGCTCTAGCAGCTGCCGACAATTTTCATTGACTTGAGTGTGTCACTCTCGTGTAAGGGAGTTATGCCGGTTCAAGTAGATTGAGACGCTGTCTTCAAGTTCCCAACTCTTGAGGTATCTTTCTAATTGATGTAAGTTGGTCAACTGAAAAGTCGGAAATTTGAATAAAATGACTTCCTATACTTTGACCCCTTGAGGAACCGAGTCAAAGAACATCATGCTTCAGATTTCACGGTGGAGTATACTTTATCACAAACGTTTGTGTTTATTCATGTTCTCTATCTCGCAAAGACCTTCAGCTGCGTGACAGTAGCTAGTGAGCGATGGAATTTTAAGTATATCGCGTATGTTTGTGAATAACTCGTTCAAACTTAGCGTAACATCTATTAAATCCATATTAATTCTAGTTAAGCATTGGCTTTTTCCAATATAGAAGAAATTCCGTAAACTCATACTTGTTTCGTTTTAGGACCACTCTAGAAAAGATCCGCTGCTTGACTGCGATACTACAGCGGAATTGCTCGCAAAACGCAGTCAAGCTAATCCAGAATTATTTCAGGGAACTTCTGCCAAAGCACTGTCGGTACACAAACAACTTCCAAGCTGGTGCACATATTATCGAGTCTCGCACGTGGGAAAAACATAAACCCATGGAGACATTGCGACAATCAAGTCAAACTCACATCCTCAATGACGCCAATCACATGGAGACCTCGCTTACTAGTGCCAAGGGTTCAAACGACTCTACAACCCTAGCTCACTTATTTCATACTTTGTTGATTCTGTTCATTCTAGTCGTGGCGGAATGAGTAGCTTATTGTCAAATTTGACATTTTACGATGGGTGTATATAAAGTATCAATGAAGAGCAATAAAGGTAATAGATGTGATCGATTTTGGCTCTTGTCAGAATAATTTCTAAAGTTCTGCTTTGAAGTCAATAACGATTTTTAAGGTCAACAGTTAAGTGACTAAAGCCATCACCTATTATGACGGCGTCGGAACGTATGCTTATTGGCTATTTCACAGTCGGCTAACCTTCATTCAAAATGATTCTGAAGGCGTACAAACATCTGTTACAGTCATAACATTATTCGAGCTTGTGCATTGCCAGCTAATAACGTCAGGGACAATGATTTCAGCAAAATATTATAATTATCGCGGATCCACAGCATGCACAAATCATTGCTTGACTCGCGGGTGGGCTAGCTCGTCTCCGCCTACCCACACACTTTTTGGTTTTCTTGATATATCCTAAAAGCGCTGCTTATCGTCGCAAACGCCAGACGTCCTGAGTTGTATCCATGAGTGTCCTCTACCGCAGAAGGGAATCGGCAGTAATTGTGAAGCGCTGGCGTTTGTTTTCCGTTAACCCATGAGTCACCCACGTCTTTATCTTTGAACCTGCTTCGTTGACTCTTGGTGGTGAAATGGCCTCTAAGCCTCAGTTCGTTTACTCAGCCAACTCCTGCCACGTGGCTGTATGTCCGTTGTCCCAAAATGCCTCGTCAAACGATGGTCATCGTCGTCAGATTGGAGGGGTAGAAATTGGGGCGTCATTGAGGTCAAAACTGTCGTTCTAAACACTTGGCCACTAGCTGACAATATCGAAAATGTAGGTACTTTTTAATTCGACAGTCCATTTTGAGACTAAAAATAAAAAACGCTCGAACCATTTGTGAAGACCACGACTACTGTCTAAACATTCACAATTTCCTTGTGATACACAAGGAAAAGGAGAAATTAAGTAGAAAAATGGCCAGAAATTAGCGTTACACATCAAACATTGAGACAGAGGTTGAATTACCGGAAGCAGGCAGGAAATCTGCTCTTTATTTTATCTACGAAGTTGTCGTAGTTGCAAGGACGTGGGGTAACGTTGGAGCTGACTACATTTGAATTCATTCATAACATATTAAAAGTCAATATTTCGCCAAGACGTACTTCAGTACACGCACTCACGTATCCGTCGATGTGCTGCCATGTTCCGTTAAGGAATTTCGACACGCTAGATGGAGCATTTAAATTTTAACTTTAAACCAAATGGCCCGCATTTGGGTAAAATATAAAAGCCACCGAACAAAAACAACTCCAACACAAACAAACAGGACTTCTGAGCACAACATAACACGCACTGTTGATTTCATGATGAGTATCAAATAAATTAAGCTTAGCTAATTGTAGCAAATTATGTTCAGCTGCACACTTGAGTGCGTGCAAATCGGTCGGCTTTTAAAACACTGGGTCTGCAGGTTAACAAATGGGCTGAGAATGCCAATTTTTCAATTATTCTACGGTTAGCTTTCTGGCACATTATGTCACTTTATTCCGGGTTGAAATTATCGTTTACTGAGGCAAATTGTAGAAAATCACATTTCAGAAGATGCCAGCACATCGTATCTTAAAATGTAGGCCATCCTCTTCTACACGCCATTTTCTGGTTTTCAATGAAATTTAACACAGAGTTAAATGCTCCACCCCCACTTTGCTATCGGTGAAGTCGAAGTGCCAGGCCAGGTCATCGCTGAGCCCCCTACCCCCTTTGCCAATGGATGTCAACACGAACCACGATGTCGTCGTGACGGCAGCCAGTCCAACATGAGAATCGTGTGTTTGTGTGTGCATGTGTGCAGTGGGTCATCAGAGGACACGCGTGAGTGAGGCTAGTTCAAAAGTTCTTCGGTGTCAATGACTCACTCTTACCTTTCATTGGTCGCTCAACAATCATGCGCACGTGCCCCCACGCAAGCTCACAATTGGTTGGCTTGGCCACTGTCTCCTGCGTGTTTTCTCGCCTCGGGTTGCTACACGCTAAGTAGCAGGGTTGCAAGATAGTGCGAACAAACACTACATGTGTATACGCCACTGGGGGCACCTGGACAGGGTCTCATTGGGAGGACAAGTGTTCCCGGGAATTCTCGTCAACATCTTAGAGCACAAAACTGTTCTTGCTGTTTCATTACAGCAACTGTCTTGTTTGGTAAAAAAATGAACAGAAGTAATTTGTGCGAAAAAAATCGAAAAGCTTAAAAACGGGGACTCTTTGAAACTAAAATCGTCGGAATCTCTTCATTTGATCCTAACAAACTACGGTTTACTATCAGAACACATAAATAAGATAGCTAATGGAAAGTGTTGTTCGTTAATTATTATAATGTTTTGAGGCTTTTCCTGGAATATTTGCCGTTGTGGACAAGGAGATCCCAGTTTCTAAATAAATAATAGTCGTTTTGCTTCTAACTTCAACGAATTGATTCTACGTGTACCAAGTCGCACCAAGTGTCGCGGCACGCAAGCACCTTGCTCAAAAATACAGCTTTCATAGTTAAGTCAAATTGTTGGTAAATATTGTGAAACCCTTCAACCAAGTCTTAACGCCAATGCCTAGCGGTCACTGATGTTAGTAAAATCGGCCACCTAACAAAGTCTTCAAAGTGCCGCTTGGATGTCCACGGCAGTGACTCATCACTTAGTAGGCCAGATGCATATATCTACTCCCAATTTCTTGGCGTGGTGTCAAAAATATGGATTTGTGTACACTTATCGGGACTCAGGATGTTCTGGTTCACATAATCTCCATGGCTCTAGTCGCCTTCTCCAAAATCCAGCAATTATAAAGAAGCACAAAGCTATAACAGTGAGTTTGGAAGTGCTTCATAAGCTCCTACTCAATGATGCTTCGTATGAGGTTGCAGGATGTTTTCCGACTCTTCAAAGTAGCAAAAGGAATTGACAGTACACTTGCCCGCCATGATGCTTAACACCCCACACACAAGTCACTTAGCAAGAATGAAGCAGTGTGCTTCCTCTGTTGCCGCCTGTTTCAGCCAACACTTGCAGGATGACCTAAGTACCGCTTGATAGCATGGGGACTCTGGATGTGAAACTTAATATTTTTCATTAGTTTTTCATTAAAACATTATAGCATCTAAGCTGTACCCGATTTGTCTTTAATCACCCTTTCGATAACCAACTTTTAAGACCGCAAAAATTCGACCACCAAAACTGAACTGGAATTAACTATTCCGTCGTCAATTCACGGGTTGAATTTTCGTTTTGGCAGAAAACCTTGATAGCAGTAAAAAATTAGATTGCGTACTACATTTATGCATGTCAAGAATCCCTGCCTCTAAACGGTCCTATTTTAGACATAATGAAAACATCGCATCTTGCAGTCGAATCTAAATAGAGCTACCCGGCTTTAGGAAATAAGCACCAATTGAATTGCCTATAGCGTTAGCTGAAAGTTGTAGTGTTGCATTTTACATTAAATGTAACTATCGGTCCTGTATAAAGAGGCATTTTTGAAAACTTAAATGAGTGTACTCGATGACACCAGTAATTGACTCTTTTTACAACTCTTGATTTCGCTTTAACTAGGATTTTGCAGGTTGTCTTAGAGCTTCTGACTACTAGAGTAGTACACTTTCTTAAATTAATACGTTTCCACATTCTAGCCTACCCAGTGAGATCATGGAGTCGACCCCCAAGTCAGAACCACACAATCGCAGTCGTACTACAAATTGACTTATTTTGCCTTTTTTCGTTGGTGAGGTAGAAAGTGGCTTGAATACGCCATGCCTGCGTAATGTCATTAAAACAATGGTACCACGTTTGAGGTGAGTTTTTCATCAATTACTTCTTGCACGGCAGCCTTGTGTTTCCATTGCCTTCCAAGGCCTCATCGCATTCAACACGAATTTTGTAATTGGCACTATTAGAACGTCAATTTGAAGAACTCAGTAGGCATTTTCCGCTAAGCGAACTTGGAACCTTCTATCTTGACGGACATTAGGGGAAATTCTACCCCCTCTATCAACTTGGCCGTGAGCTTGAAAGTGAGCTAAGAGGCCTGAGGCTACAAGGCCTGGTCGCCTCCTTGATTACGGACGCTTTTTTCGAGAACGTGTGCATTAGGAATATTTAGTCTACGGGTTCGCGTCCTCGTCATGTCCTCAATTTCAAAATTGCGGATCTGAGGTGTCAATTAGAATGATTGGCGTGGCGAATTCCAACTACCGAATAGGTGTAAGTAGACAGAATGTCAGATATAATAGCATTACCGGTGCAACCATAATGCATAATCCTACCATTATGTTCAGCGGACATATGCAAATAAAAATATAACGATTATGTGTAAGCGTTTATTATACCAATTCGCAAGCATAAATCAACCCAGATATAGGCTAATTGTGAGGTCTTGAGTCTAAACACTCGCCTGAAGGGAGATTGGGCCGTTGAGCACTGACGACGCGAGTGTCAACGTAGTGGATTTTTCTACATAACTATCACATATTGATAGTCGGATAACTGAATTTTAAATATGTCCCAGTTCGTTGGGTGAAATTCTTGCGTTCATTTCGGTTTTACAAAAACATATATGAAGTATGAATCCTTTTAACCAGGAACGATCTTCTTTGGAACAAATGAAAGTCGCAATTAAACGCGATGGCCCTGTTGAAAATATCTTTGTATTCTGTTGGCATTCTGTGACACCCTACGACCAAAATCTGGTTTAGTCAGGCACCAAACTCTTGTTTTCCCATTAGAAACTTAAATCCGAAAATTGCCTTCTACAAAACCGATAGAAAAGTAGGTTATGCAAAATGAAAGTACACGAATGACCAAAATTGTAAGACGTAATTTTATTGCCGTGTGATATTTCGGCTAAAGAAGTGATATGGAGGATAATTACTAGGTTAACCATAATCTTACTCAAGTACGTGCCAAATAATAGATCAAATATTGTAAATCACAGCCATCGATAAAACCTAGAGAAAAGCTTCATAATCGAAAAAATCAGTTTTCAGCTTTCTTCCAGATCGGTTGTCGACATTGTCCTGCATTGGCGGAGTCCAAAATGACGTCTGACTGGGAAGACAAATGGAGCAGTGGAGAGATTGCGCTGATTATACTGTTGAAGAGGTGGGGATTGTTACTCTCCTCGGCTGCGAGAATATCTTTCAGTCTTGTTTGCTCCATCCTTGACTGTTCGCATATCGAACACGCTATTTTTATGACTGGTAGTTTAGCCTAAATGCGATACAGTGAATGTTTGCTTTAAATACAAAAAACAGGTTTTTATCTCTGAGGATTAGTTTGAGGTAACACTGAAGGCTATGTAAAGTGGCACTTTGGATGAAGTTTGGCGACTCGTGGCTTAGTCGGGGGTGTTTGTCTCAATCGAGACAAACACTAGTCTACAAAGATCAGACGCCTCCGTAGTAGCCATCTACATCGTGTAATTTTTACATAACGACTTTTTGCATTGCAACTTGATTAAAAAACGATCCAACAAAACGGGTTTTTGTGATGCTGGCAGAGAGCGTTTTTGCCCCGTGAGAGGAATACCAAACGCGCATGAAGGACTTTACTAGTTTGGTTAATCCTCTCAGCTCGAGTGCTCAGGGCCAAAACTGAGTCAAGATTTTTGGGTTCTCAACTGCTATTCTGTGCTTACAATACGCCCCAAATTTTCCAAGTGGCACATGGTGACTTTTAACAGTAGTTAAATTCTTTGACGTTAGAGTATGATTTTGGAAATATCGCCTGTAGAGCTTAGTAATTTTGCCTAAATTTCCGTTAGCAAATGCAATTTGTCTTGGTTTAATTGTTGAATATTAGCTTATTTGTACGTTTTTATTTTAAAAACAGAACTTACAGCACTAACGAAGTCTTCTATGGTCGCTTCTCGACAAAATACTAGGGGTCGAATCAGACGAAGGTGCAAGCCCCTAGAAAACAACAATTGTTTGCATGAATGTCCTTGGTGTCATTTATGAACAACATGAACAAAACTTTACTCAAGGATTCCAAAAGATTAAATCGGGGAATAATAGACGAAAATGATTTTCATTCTTAATATTGTGAACTATCCTGATATCGATAGGAACTTCGCCTTAGTTAAAGGCTTAACAACTGCTGAATGAGGCCTAACTTCTCATAAAATGATTTTACGAAGTGTTCTAGAATGCAGATCGATTTTAAAGATCAGTGCTGTGCTAAGTGTCCCATAGGCTTTTACTGCGTTGCAGGCCAAATTTTTTTCGACATGATTCAATTTAGTTAGTTGTCTATTTCATTAGGTGTCGCATCTTAATCCTCACTGCCTAATGCTTGGTAGCCGTACTTTACCACCATTGTATTCTAAAGACGCAATTTAATCAGTTCTACCTCAGTAAAAATCCCCTCGTGGCTTTGCAAATACTGCGCGATAGAGTAGCACCATGGAAGTAGCATTAGCACAACAACCTTGTTTACTACCATAACAGTAGAAAGTACTCATTAGCTGTTTTCACACTCTTAAATGAGACCAGACATACTTTAGTTCGACATTCGCCTCCATAGTTTGAATGCTTCCGTTGTTAAATACCGAGGAGAGAAAACTGAAAGACAAGAAGATCGGTTTGTGCAGTTACGAGGTTTTGGGCGAATGAGAGGAAACGTTTTTTTAAAGAAGTGCTATTTTTGAACTTACCTAATGGCCATGTCATCAAGATTTTGAGCAAGAGCCAGCACGTTGTAGCCGTGCTTTCTGGCGACGTTATAAATGACTTTCTGCTTCAAACTCGAGCAGAGGTCCAGTGAGTGTGAGCAGTAGTTATTCATATCTGAAATAAATGGATTGAAATAGACTTAGGGACGTGAAGGTCCGGGTTCATAAAATACAATGCACAATTGCGCATTCGCTTGTTAAGTGACCGTTAGGCGTCAAAGTCACAAATGGGGTAGCACACGACGCTGAATACTTGAAGGTTTAATCACCACTGTTTATCTTTGCTTAAATGTCGAATTCCCCGATCTTCCAAATAGAAGTAGATCAGATAAGGAACATTTAGAAAATTTAAATGGACCAGCATTTTGCTTTATCGGCTTGTGAGTCGGTGGGAACCTTACGCCTATTCAAAAGTAAAAATTATTACACCTATGACTCTTTTGTAAAAGCGAACGATTTTACTGCAACATTCACCCATTTGGCTTAACGAAAGTAATGGATTGACTGCTTTTCGAATTCTATTTAACCGTACTGTTTTTTTGTTTTGCTTTTTAAAATCAGCCCACATTGAAAAAAAAAATTAACTTACGTTGCTTCTCGTAATAATTCGTCACACCAAGTGCCTTTAGGTAATTGACCAGTGGCATAAGTTCATAGTTCTCAAAGGCCAGAGCGACGACAACTGTGCCAATTTCGAAGACATTTGAGTTAGTCTGGTCAGTACTTTCCTGCTGAAGCAGTTCTTGGTAGGCGTGAAGGCAGTGTAGAAGAGCCATGGAGGATTTGCCATCAGAAATGTGGACGAGAATCTTATCTCCAGGTCGGATCATCGAGAAGAGGCGAAGGGCCTACCAAGGGAAGATTCAAATGTTCTCCCGCATCTAACGTAGGACATGCACCTAGTTTGATCTCTTTTGAATAAGCTTGGTATTCATGAAAGCCACAGGCTTCACAGTTTTGTGGCGGCTCTGAACATTAGCTATCGGTTGTCTTGATCTTATATTTTCGATAAGGAAGTACAAACTTCTAAGACTACGCCTGAATTCTGGATTTTGAAGGGGTTGTGGATGGATCTAGATCTGCTACCAAAGCGGTGTTTAATTAGCAAGAAATGACCTTTCTCCTGATAACACGAATCTTCACTCCAAGAAGCCACATTTGTATCATTAAGCTGAGTAAACACTTGTGACGCAATAAGAGTTGGACTTAATGAATTAATCACATCTGTTCACAATTCGCGTTTTAATTAAATCGCTAACTTTTGGCATCTGCATTTCTCAACCTTGTCAAGAACGAGATTTATCAAATTTTCCCATTAAAACTTTGCAATGCGTAGATGATTACCATAGTATGCTGAGAGAAGTGTGTGATCTCACATTTACAGAGGTAGCATGAGGGCGCCGTTGACCGTGAAATCGGCGGTAGCGTCGTGACTATGCACGAATATAGTGAAGTGGTTTCAAGTCCCCATGTTATGGAAATGCAGTCAAATATTAAGTGTGAACCCTAAAAGCCGTAACCCTATCCGCTGAGTACCAACTTGGTTTAGTTTAATTTTATTTCTCAAAAGTAGCAGAAATGATGTACCCAAAAGATGCAAGAAGATCAGAGGCGATAGCGTAGTTAAGCGACAAAAGTAATCTAACTCAAGAGGTTTCGCTCATGCCTGGTTAGAACATTCGTAACCTTTCTTAAACTTTATTAAAAGACGTTTTGGGCTTCAAAACACCTTCCAGAGGTATGACAGATTGGTCATTAGCCACTTTCAGTAACCGATACTGAGACCAAAGTTACAATATGGCCTGGTTCTCAAAGTCGGACTAGAAGACTAAATAATCTTAAATTTGAGACGTGAGTGACCTACGAACAGTTTTCACATGACAAGTCTTTATGGAGATAGTTGAAGAAAAAAACGTTGTTGTGATTGGAAGAATGCTGGGAAGTAAGCGCGTGCACAAAACAAGAGCGCCTTTTTCATCCTTACCAATGTAAGTAGTAGCGACGTCATCAAAGTATCCCGAATCTAGGCTGCGGCGGACCAGCGGCAGATTTTATGACCTTACTTAAAATCAATTGGACTATGATTCAAAATGACTCTAGCGACTTATCTCAAACCTCTTTTTTCCACTCTTCGTGAGTAAAGGCTGGAAAACCAAATCAAGACAAATAAACAATTTCACGAGTCATCAAAATTTATATCAAACTTTAATATTTCTTTGTGCAAATGATCATGGAAATACCTAGATTCATAGATTTCAACTTTCCAAAATGTTATAATAGCCTTAGCGTTTCAAAATAGGGTAGGAATAGCCCTTTCCTAAGAAGAAAGTAATTTTTTAACTTGTCCAAGGCGCCAGCATCGATTACACCTTGGAAGTCCATTGGCGCTACATCTCAATTAACTTATTGTCTTCGAAACGGGTTGCACAGTGCCATCAGCCACAAAGCTAAAAAAACGAACGTTTCTTGTTTGACGCAACTCGAGGAAATTTCGTTAACCCGTTTATGTAAGTCGATAAAATCCCAAGCACTTCGATGGGGCTTTCATTGACTAATCTACTTTCTTAAAACTGTGAGAATGATATCAGCTTGATGGTTACTAACTTATCACCTGGCACTAATTTAGGTAGAAAATAATCCAAGGTATAACTTGAAAGAAATTTAGGTAAGTTTAAGCCGAACTGGTTTCACAACATGCATTTATTAGGTGCGGGGCCTATTGGGTATGCCAGTTTCAAATTTCATTTGTCAAACGGTGTCTAACTTAGTAAAGCAACTGCTTAAAATAGTTTCTCCTTAAAGCAGTGTACCTGAAGGAAAATGGTTTTCACTTCCAATACGTGAACTCGTCTCATAGTATTTGGTCTCAATTGGTCCGGACAGGTTTATTTGAGGATTTTCAGTAACTTTCAATTTCTTTAGCAACTTGTTAATTTACAAAACCAGCTGGTCTTCGATGTCCACAGCGCACTCTAGTAATGAGCCCATCACACGCATAACCGGCTGGCACGCAGCACAAACGTCTCCGCTTGCCACCACCGGTCCCCTCTTTGCTCTCGGATATGACTGGTGCTAAAAGGGTGGGATTTTAAGGCAGTTCACCACTACAGTTGACAATCCTGCGTAAAATTCTCATTCGTGAACAAGAGCTAACCAAAATAACAAAACCTCCTGTCCCACTTTTACGGAAAACAGCAGGTCCCTCAATCCTCCCCTGAAACTTGGTTCACGAAAGCTAAGGCACACTTCCGCATTCAGGTGACTTCATCCCGGGTCTGCATGTATTCTAATCCTGTTTTACGGATATGGACAGAAATTGCAGTTGAACTGATTAGCATGCTTGGTCCAAGGCTTTCAGAAAGACCCTTCAGGAAGCAGAAGACCAGCGTTTTCGAGCAATTGACTGGCACCAACGAGAGCCGTTTGAGACACCTAATTATCAGCATTGAATTCGTTCATCTTAGGTTTTCCGCCAAAGGCGTCTTCTATTTAGCACCAACAGATCTGACAATTCGATTCTCCACTAATCACAGACTAAATGCCTTTCCTCCAAAGGCCTGGCAGGCCACCATGTCACTGCTGCAGGATATGGAACTTTGAGAGCTAAAACCGGGAATGATGATTTATTCCACTTTTAATATTGCAGCGATAGCAATTTTGAAATAAGTAAGGAGGTTGTTTACAATGTGCCAGTGTGCTAAATTGCATTTTCTTGTGAAACTGGGGAACCTGTTGGGTGCAGACAAGCAAACAGTTATATGACACTTTGACTTTGAATGCGTTTTCAGGAAAATCCCTTTTACGCGAATCGTCCCAACGTAACCATGAAAATTCTACGTAAGAAATGAAAGCAATATATGACATTACAAATCTTAGTTGCTATCATAGCGATTGTATGCATAATAATACAATTGAAATTTGCTATTAACTCAAGCAGAATGCGAGGGGTGTTGCGAGCGGTGTTATAAGAGACGCGTGTTCAACGTATTTGGGGTTAGTTTAGTAATGTTAGCATAGAATTTGTCAGAGAGATTATCAATAATGCTTTCTTTCTATTCCATCAGCAACAACTCAGCGGAACCTATAAAACGACCAATAAAAGCCACGTTTAAATTTACTCATACAAACTGGTGTTGGTTAGAGATTACAGTTTCAAGCTTGGTGTTAGCTAAACATTATGCCTACGATCGAAAGCGCACATAATGTTGGAGGAAGGTTATACGCCATGCTTCTAATAACGCCTAAGTGAAAGCAAGCATGGCACTTTGACCGCAAATTAACTTACGGTGTTGGTAATAACGACCATGGTCTAGACTGAACAAGTGTAAAAGTACGGAATTTTTTGTAAGCAACTGTCCATGTATTGGAGCAAACATAAATGATAACGAGACATCGATTTACGTTGTATAAAATTGACTAGGATAAAACAATAACAAACATCAATACGCGTGTGTTCGTGTCTATGTCGTATCAGTTATAAAATGTCCATACACACTGGACCCCTTGGTTGCAAAACTCGCTCACAAATTTGGATTGAAAAGATTTCGTCAGGACGGCTGACGTACTTACCTAAATGTTGGCTTAGCAATTTCGTAATCGAAAAGTACAGAGCATGGACCTACCATACGCACGAATTCCACAATAGTGCAAGACTCAATGATCATGCAGGTTGAGGTGCAGCACATGATCATGTGAACTGCAAAGTGCTTCGTTTTGTGGACTTTTTCTGATGCCTATTCTAACCGAACGCTTATTCGCCTACGATCCACCGGTAATTCTTCTTTAACGTGTACAAAATCGGAAGTCGGTTCTAAGCAGGGTCATCTTATTGATTTTCGACGCTTCCACAGACACGTAGAGCCAATAAGGCCGACCATCATTTTCTTTAGTTGCAAAACTCCGTTATTAATTAACCGCTCATACCTTAAAGGAAGTGCCAGCTGTCAGTTCGGATAAAGGACGCTGGTATGTGGCGCTAGGTAAAAAATGATAACCCGGAGCAATTAAGTGCAGTAGACTTTGGCAAGGTATGGCAAAAGGTCGAGATGATTAGTTACTATGTTAAAAAAACCATTCTAGTGACTTTGCCTTAGACTGGAATTTCATATCATTATAGGTTTAAAGATAGAATTAAGTTGTAGATTTAGAATTTGTGAGGTTTGATGCACAAAACTCCCCATGTTGACAGTTTGAATGGTCCACTTGTTTTACGCTTGCCCAAAAATACTAAATGAAAGTAAACCTCCTAATTGAGGAAACCTTGCAAATTATAAAGTTGGCAGGTCCATGACCCTGAGAGACGCTTGAGAGTTTTATGCACAGGTTCATGTGGCTGGATGAATAGCCGAAATTGCATTGCTGGCAAAACAGAAAAAAACCAAATAACGACAAGTCAACCTATTCAGTAAATTGGAGTGTGTGGAAGGAACACGTCTGGAGGTGACAGGGGTAAATAGTTGCCGAGAATAAAGGCAGTGAACGATTGATTGTAAAAATAAAGACCTTTTTTTTAAAAAATTGGACGTTTAGAGCGTTTGTGGTGCATTTGGTGTCTTGAGTAATAGGTAGCTGGTAATTGATGACCTAAATTAAAACTTTTACCACAAAGTTAAATGACTACGATTCCATCCAGAATTCTGAGTTACCATGGACTGTTGACATCGTTTTCAGTTGACTGTCAAATAGTTTCACTGTGAGGCCTGACTGTCGGTGTTACATTTTCGCTGGGAAACAGCTAGTTTCCGGAAATCTGATGTGTTCTGGAAAAACTTTGACTTGATTGATCGTTAAGATGAGAGAACCCCCGGATATGAAAATCCTTCTGTAAACCAAAATTTAGCCATTACTTCCACTAAAACATCAGGTACGGCAAAGACATTAAAATGCCACCACAACGCAACACGCATGTCTTAAGATCGATATGAATACCTTCGAACAGTCATACTATTAAGTTTGATCCAATCGACAGTTACACAGGGAGTGAAGTTATTTTAACTGTTTTTGTCGAAACTATTGTAGTCTAATGCTTAATTTTTGTCAATGACTATAATTCCGTTGTCAACCTCGAATCCGGCTTTAATTTGATCAATGTGTGAACCGGAGAACAGCAGTAACGTCACATTAAGAGTTTTCACATACTGAACGTTGTGTGGAACTGAAAGCTCTCTCGAATCCTTCGCTGGAAAATACGTTAGGTGCTATCAATCTGAGATAATTCAGATGCTTTATGGCTTAATAGAAGGGTAAGACTTTTGTCGACAAACTTCGTATACCAATAAGCGAGTGGCTGTACTGTTGTGTTAGCAGTCAATTTTAAATGTAAATCAGTAGCTTAAAGCAAAGCGCGAGTCAGTGAGAATAAGTGAGCAGCACTCGCTAGAGCTAAACGTTTTGATAACATCATCCCGTACATAAAGTTAGACCATTTTTTTGTAAAATCCAAAAATCAAGCAAGGCAAAATAGGATGATAGAAATCGCTAAAACGCTCAAATACTGGATTTAGTCACTCCATTTAGACTTAGAACAGCCAAATCTCCTTGAGAACGTCAGAGGTAGCTTATAGTGTATAGCAGCTGAAGTAACAGGTTCAACAGATCTCAAATTCAAAGTGCAAAAATACACATTGAAGGGTTAGCAATTAACCGACTCTCACCTAAACGTCAGAAAGTTATGATTTGGGGTTCCTGCGTTCCTTTAACTTTATTATGAGTTAACCGTCAATTTAGAGGAAGGCAGAGTCTGATTCGGATAACGCATGCTGACGTGCGTCACTTTACATGAGCCAAAAGTCATTTGCTTGAACTCAAGCAAGCCCATAGGTGCTTGATGGGCGTTTCTGATGTCGGTTGGCTCGCATGAAACTCAGTAACATGGCTTTGGGCTTTTAATTGGAGGAAAATCCATAAACCTTGTCATATGATAGCGTCCTGGTGAGGTATTTGAATGTTAAGCTTCATAATCATCACAAGGGCTCCATTCTGCTGAGATTTTTCGTTGGAATGATGTTAAGAAGCGACCGCTGAGGGATTGAGGAACCACACCAATTTGTAGCTTGGGTTTGGACTTAAGTGAGTGAGCCTAAGTCCTTAAACCAAAGTGTGTGGAGTCACTAACTTGGTAAAATGTTTTAGTACAGCCAAGTATTGTCCGCTGTCAGTTCTTTTGGTGGCAATTTGGGCGGGTGCTGACGTTCGTCACAAGAAACTGAGGTGGTTGAGCAAAGAGGTGCACAGAATCGACTGAATCACATTTACAAGTACAAAAATCCACCATAACTAACGGCTCAAATCGACGCCACGAAACACTAACCGGGGTATTAGATACAACAAGAGTGTAGAGCGTCTATCGCCTTGAGCCGTAGTGCTGATATGTCAGCACCTGAGTAGAACGGAGTTTGTCGCGAATGGGACTTGCCTTAAAGTGAAAGGTGGTGATTTAGGTGCTTGCTAGCAGCAGTCGCTAATACTATAAGCCCTCTTAATGACTTTCACATGCGTATGTCTTTAAACCCACTTTGGCCAAATCAGTTTCTAAAAATGTTGGCAATATCATTACGTTTTCTGCTGTTCGTTTCAAAAAATGTTCCCGTACAGAAAACGAAGTAGAATCCAAGAAGAAAGTTGATAGTAGGTTCCAAAATAGGAGTTTTCGCCAATAGCGTTTCAAATAAAACGAAATTATTCCGTTCGATGTTTTAATTGGTCCTTAGTTAATTTCAGAGATTGAATTTGACATGACTGCTTCCACAAGAGAGTCTGCCTTTTCTATTACACTTTAGGGGGTCCAAATAGCAATGTAAGGGGTTGCCACCCACTGGTTGACCAGTCATTTACAAAATGTATATGATGTTTTACTGTGTGCTATTTCGTCATTCTACGAAAGTTAGATGATGCGTTGATAAGTTGTCGGTTGTGAACGTTCCAATACCGATTTTGATATTTTAATGTGAAGCGTCGCATGTGACAAATTGCTGGCCAAATCATTGTTAAAAGTTCCGACGAGATGTGAATATTTTGGGTATTGACCGACACCAGTGGCCCCAGAAAATCTTGCTTCAGTAATTGAGAATCGACATTTGTTCACGTTCGGCCTAAATAAAAGTTATTTTGCGCCAATGACGACAGTCGTAGAGAACTTCGTGATTGCTGAATCTTCATGGTAGAAAGTCGGCAGAACATTGTGAATGTTCGGATATTCGATAACTTACTCAGCAGATGAAGTTTTGTCTTACTTTGCAGTGGCAACAAACAGTAATTCACAAAGAAACTCAAAGTGTGCAAAATTTGCATCATTTGATGCAGATCTAAAGAGAGCACATCACTTATAAGTAGTGTTCACAGCTGAGAATAAGGGTAATTTTTGCGCATTTTACATGAAGACACCAAAGGCAAACCGAATGACATACGCCACATTGTAAGTTTTAGTGTAACTTTAGTACCATTATTAGTAAGTGTCATATGTTTTAATAGATAATATTTGCTGGTGCTGAGTGCAGGCTCATACAAGTTAAATGACATTGAAAGCACGAATGTTGCAAGTCTTATCTAATTAGCAACTAATGGTTACTGTTTCGTTATTAGGCCCGTCGCGTCTTTTGTGCACAAGTGAAATGCTTATTGTTAGAAATGAAATTAAATGCTTTTGGCACAGATGGAAATAGCGCTTTGGGTAAGCCCAATTTTGCTCAGTTAACTCTGTAGAGGAAATTTCCTCGCCTCTTGTTGGCCTAGGTGCAACCGTATTAACCATGTTTATATTGCCTAAGTTATCATTTTTAACAGTTAGATAGAATAAGGATGAAGCCTAACTTAAATTTAATGGTCATTCCAATACCTCCCAATGTACCCAAGAACTACCTCTATAGAGCACATCTTATTCAAAATAACTTGGCGATTCAGGATCGTAAAATACTGCAAATAGTCCGTGGACGTGTTTGATGGCTTTAAAATGTTCATTTAGATTCTTCTTAGATATACCCTGCAAGAAATCTAAAGTGCTTATCAAAGATTTGGAAGTAACGGCATTTGCTTCACAAAGTACGCACTACGTAAACAGGTTGTGAATTAATTTGAAGTCCTTGAAAATGCTCGAAGAAACATGATTCCTTTGAGTACTGATTTCTTTGAGTCAGGAGAAACAGTGGAGTGGATTGTGACTTAGGAATACGGATTTGGGGGGTACAACAACCACAATGCTTCACCTGTGGTAGATCACTCACAAAACAAGTTTATAAAAGTAGCGCATTTGAACAGCTGCCAAAACCTCGTAACTCAGTGTGGGCTAAATTCCACGCATAGATGTTTCGCCTTATTTCCTAATCGCCGCTACGTCGAATCGGATGCACAAACGGTAACTAGAAACCGAGACCGTTTTGCCAGAAAATTTAACCATGTCGACTCAGTTAGGGTCACTTCAAAATCCGGTCAAATTTTCAAAAAGAGGCCATATTTCATAGAAAAACAAATAAATACGTCAAATAACATTCGCTAGTGATGTTAGATTAGTTTTTGATGGATAATTTATCATATACAAACATGTCAAAATGCGAGTATTGGATAGTTTCAAGTAGTTGAAGTGCTTAGGTTACAGAGAGCCTTTTTGCTTTAGCAATGCTGCCTCCGTTAACTCAGAAACAGTGGCTACATAACCAACAAGGGCATGTACATATCTACCAAAATGTAAAGTTTGGTAGCAGATAAGGTTATGGAAACGCGACCTATCTTTAATTTTTTATGAAAATTTGTACCTTGAGAAAACTTAAAGTGCTTATACATTTAAGTGCAGACCCGAAAAAAATGTACGGGTAATTTGATTGTAAATCGTTGTGTAACATAAAAAAGATATACTTAGCAACATACGATTAAACTTTACGTAGGGATAAGGAATCAGATTGCAGTATTAAGAGTTGCTGTGCGATTTTCAAATGCTCGGGTGTCTAAACGTACCAAAGTGAGGAATCAACTAATGCATTAAAAGTTTAAAACTATTCAAGCTTTCAAACGAATGCATTACTAGTTAGAAACGAAGTCTATTTACAAAGATTTTAAAAAGGTTTATAATTTTCACAACTCGTTTTGTTCAATTTGATCGCAAGCTTTGTTGCAGAAGCATCACAAATATATAAACGTTAAGCAACTGACACACCCTCCTTAGAAGGCAAAAAGAATAGATTTAAGTGTAAATCCACGTGACAGGACGTAAGGAGTGTTGCTAATTGGTAAAATTATGTGTCAACAGTGACGTTAAAGTTGGAAACCAATGGAATTGATTAATAAATTTTTTTCTGCTGTTCTTGATTTCGTAAAAGGCTTTACAGTTTAATCGACTTGAAGCAACAAAAATTATGGTTTTGCTTAAATTTGGAGTAGGGTTCAAATAAATCTATTTGTGGTAATGAATACTATTTAATTAAGTGAGAAGCTTAGCTTTTCCTTTTCTCACAACCAAAACTTGAAAGTTAGTTATCTGAAAATGAACTGCTAAATGATGAAGCTCCACTCACCTTCGATTCCAAAACCTATGCTATTACCTCACTTACCGGCAAAATGTTAAAAACATAAACCTATCAGGCCGGGTCTTTTCTGGTTAACTAGACCAAATGTCGGGAAAAAGTGAAGGGTTTGGAAAACACGTCAATTTACAACCCAAAAAGAGATATGGCAGCCGTTACCAATTCGAGATTGACAAATCCTTACAGTAATGCTCTTCACCTCATGCGTAACGGAGCAACAACACTTACTAAAGGCAGATATTTGGCCTACCTGTATAGTTGGCTTGAAAAGTTGAGGGGACGGAGTGCACCACGTAACCTCACCAAAAGGGAACTTCGAAGGCAGGTGGCGTTCCTCGGTCATGTCACAGGATAATTGGATTGAGGAGTACTTGTCACAAATCTCCAGCCGCTCCCTCTGTGACGACTTGCCCCTTGGTCGATTGTTATGGTTTGAGGAAACGCGATTTTCTTTTTCACTTGCGGCAACTCGGTGAACACAGATTATGTCAGTGCCCGAATTCGATTCTACACTTCTCTCGGAACTACTAGACGTGGATACGTTGTAGACAGACCTGCGCCTGCCGTTGGAGTAAAGATGCTTCTCTTCAACCACAGTGGCCGCCATCTTGGAGCCAGTGTATTCGCACAGGCGTGCAAGGGAGCCGTTGTTGCGCTTAGCAAGATCGGGGCAGAAGCAGCGCTCGATACACCCCGGGTGCCACGGGCTGCCTGCATTGGGGTACTGGGCAATGGGTCGAGCTTGTCCTGAATTTCGGAAAGCAGTTCATTCAGTTTCTGATTATTAACCCGAGCACTTCAATACATAATGAAATTAAGGCAGCTTTGTTAAGCCCTTGTGCGCCATTTGAAGTATGCCTAAATAAATGGACTTCGCAATAAAATGCAAACTAATTGTATAAAGCAATTTAGCAGAATTATAACTGTATTTTTGGAAGAGTGCACACCAAAGAAGCATCGACTTCACCCCAAAACCACCGTTACACACAGCTGTTTAAGTGCACAAACATTTCGTTTCAATAAAATTATGGCACCACCATCGCCTAATCCTATCATTTTGTTGGAATTTGAGCTAAAAAATACAATTAATATCAAAGATGCTTCAATGCACACGAGGTCAACGACACCACTTTCGATGCTGTTACGAAAGTACACGAATATCACTGGGCCAGAACCAACCTCTCGCGTCTGCAGCTGCCTCACTCGAAAGAAGGAACCAGCGGAGGTAGTTCACCTTTGACCTCATCCAGTAGCGGTCGATTTTCTCATTAGTTAGACTGCAGTTTGATTGACTTAGAAGCGTTTCGTGCGACTGCTGCAACGTCAGGGCCATTGACATACATTCCTACAATCGAAAGCAAATCAAATTGGGTAACGCCAGCTCAGCGCATACGTCATCAAGGCGAGAGTATTGCCGATTAAATGGCATCCCGATTGCGTCATTTAATGAACCGTATTTCCAACACTATGACAGCAGAAAAAAGCAGACAGGGAAAAGGATCTCGTAAAAGGGGAATGAATCGGCCAGTGTGACAGAGCTTTGAATAGTATTTTACACGGCAAATAATCTAAAAATATATATTCTTTATGGTCTAAATTAAGCAGTACTAAAATGCGTGTTATGTAGTTTAGAATTTTCTATTATAACTCACGCTGAAACTTGGGAGTCCTAGTGCTTAATTAATTGTCCAAAGTACTTCAGCCCCTAATGACCCTCAGTTACTTTCAACAAGTAAAGACGTATAGAGTTAATTGACGTATTAGGGGGGGGCATTGCTGTATTAGGTCAATGTGAATAACTTTTGCTAAATAAGTACATTTGATAAGACATTAATATACGCTTCCGACCAAACATTTCTCGACTCATCGACATGTCCCTAGACGTGTGGTGGGCTGTCGCCGAAGGCTTTATTCAGTGTAGAAGCCTGTCTGAACAGGCTTGTCTGATGATGATTGGCTCTTTCTTCACCGCTCCATGCGATACCGAGAAAGTGTATTTCTTGCGTTGCATCGACATAATTATACCAGTTCTACTCAGGTTTTGTCTTGAACAAAGTGATGCAGGTCTGCTCCATGTTTTGTAATGCAACTGAAAGCATACTTGGTTACTGCACCCATTGCGTTAAATGAACTAACCAATGGGCTGCACAAGCATTTGGTCGGCAATATGAGTCCCAAGATTGACATCCCTTGAGGGGACATAGCATTAATTCTAGTAATTCCAAATGTCTAGGGATGCCAACTTAGTGACACAAATCTAAATATCTATTAGAATCGTGACATTCTACATGCCTAATGCAATTGCGGCCATACCGGATGTTTGAACAAGTTGACCCTTTAGTCTATTACAATTATTTAAGCTGCGTAAGTGTTGTGGCTTAATGTAAGGTAATCTATTTGATTCTGTCCTAGTGTTCACGCGAACAATGTTCTGCATCGCTATGAAAAATTACCTTGCATTTATTCGACCTGATAATACAAAAGTATTACTGAGGGGATTTTTCAATGTAGGATGCATTGCTGCGCCTCTGCACCGATAGCGTTCATTTATTTAAAATTGCGTTTCCGGTCAGTCATTTGTAGTTTTGCGTGCCTGTAATTATTCCTATTGTGAAAAGCATATTTCGATGCAAGAGATGGCCAAACCTCTGAAGTGTGTATCAACAAGCCAACAAATTTAAAAATACGCAAGTTTATAAACTTATTAAACTTGGCGCATTGTGGTCCTCCTTGTGCGCTACGTACACAAAGTACCTAAAGCCGAAATTTGGATCAGGGAAACCTATTTAAGTATAGAGGATCATATGTTGTAATGAAATACGACAAAAGTGCCTAAAGCAATTATGAGTATATTTGTTAGCTAAGCAGTTATCTATAACACACGCTGCTGATCACTCTACTTTCAAAGAAATACCACATCCCCTCAGTCGATAACGCGAGAGAATTCTTATAATGCACTGCGAACAAAAGCACGACTGTTTTTGTATGAGAAATGTCGTCTAATGACTGGACACTTTTGCCCCTTTTAATGCAAACAAAATAAACTTGTATTATTACTCGAAGCAAGTTTTTTAACATCGTTAGACCGTTAAAATTTAAACCGTTTTGTGTTTCATTTTTAAGCATGCAGCAGACAGAAATATTGTCTTAGCCTCAATCTAGTTCAGGGAAATGACAAAAATGCACAATTGCTTTACGTAGGAGACAAAAACCACTCCCACTTGCCACACAAATCAACTGCTAATAGGAAACGTTTGCAAGTTCACATTCGAGGCATGAGAATTTGTACTGCATTAACATCAAGCGGGGAAAAATGTTGTGTTTTTTGGGGGAACAGACTGAAGCTTTTGCTAATCTACACTTAAAATCTTCGTAAGGCCTAATTATTGCACAATTGTTAGGCACAAACTGGTGATCAAAATAAATGAGTGGATCTGTGTGATGGAAAGTCCCGCAATTTCAATGAAACTAAATATTGTAACACCAGATCACTCGCAATTTAGCTCGTATTTCATTATGTGCTGTCACATTCCAGATTGTTATATTTATCGCTAGCGTGCTCTAGGTGTAACAATCTACTTGGCTTGAATGTTTGCGGTAGTGAATTTGCAAATGAGCAGCACCTGATTCGCTTAAAAAGGTTGCGAATGAGAAAAAATTGAATTTTTTTTCGACCACGAAGATTGGACTTTCTAAACTGTTCAAAGAAGGGTGTGTGAAGTACTTGACGTGCAGGAGAACTTCTGAGTATCAAAACAAACAGTGACAGTTTGTCTTCAGTTAAATCAATCCATCAACTTAGGTTCCCACAGCCCTTTCTGTGAAGAAGAGGGGTTCGTCACATTAAAGTCACATGCCCCATCACTCATTTGAGAAATGTCTTCGTGAAAATTTCAAACAATGTGCGCAGCTTGTGGGGGTCAAATACCGCAATAAACGCTGAACTTGACTTAATTTCTGAAATCCGAACACTCCAGTTAAGCTGGTAACCTGAGGTAGTTGCGAAATGGCCGAACTACGTAGTAAATGTGTGTATTTTACTTGAGTCAGAAAAACACCACACGTTTTCCACAGAATTAGTTTTGCCGGTAAATTAATTTAGTTGTTCTCAGCTAGCTACATTAACTAACCTATGACATTATTTCTCTACCTACAAATTAGGAGCTTGGATTTAGACACAAGTCAAAATTTTTCGCGATAAGTTTAGCCATAGCCAAGAGTTCCTCTTAGTATTAGACCGCAAATTTTGCTATTAACGGTAAAATGAGCTAGTAGCTGTAGTGAAGGAGTCGATGAAATCGGAATAGTTCCATGCACTACGCGCACGTTTTGGTCATTGTACCAAGTTGGTGTTGCTTGGAGAAAATATTAGAACTAATGACGACTGAAGTGAGCCTTAAGCTGGTTAATTAATATGTCTTTGGGTGATGTAGGTTTTGTGTTGTTGTGCCTCGTCAAAGACAAAAATTGAGGTACGCAGAGGTTCGTAGTTAATGTCGATCCTGAATTTAGTGTACTGAAGCACACCAAGCTTCTCGGATTTTATCAGAATGACAACATCACCGTTTCATGCAGGCCAAGCTTCTGTGTCTGTTTCTGGTGTCCACTTATCCGCAATTACCTTTTTAGGCATGGTGTCAAAGCATTTTACTCATTTGACCTTAAAAAGGTTCAAAAATAGTTTAAATGGTGCTGAGGGAAACTTAATTGACAATAGTCTCTTTTGTGCATTTTTGACCTTGATTTAATGACGTGCAAGTTCCCACTTGCTTAATTTGGCATAGTATTGGGCCCCTTAACTTCATTCTGCTTCTATGTTGAACTCTTGAACACTATTACTTACTACTTTAGTACGCGTAGGAGTGCAGGTTTTGTTGTGGTTTTATCTAAACCATGAAATATCACGTCCGCTTTCAAATACTGGAATCTATCAAATGTTACCACGTAATAAAACTGCATACTTTTTGGCATGATTCTGCAGTTGCTTCTTCGTTCAATTTAGTGCAATGAAGAAACAGCGAACTAATTTTTATTAGATATTTTCGAAATAGCTTTGTGATTTAAAGAAAACAATGCCGAATTTCTGTTGACACAAAAAAGCCCATTTGTAAGTTAATATATCGTGCTAAAAAACCATCTGGAAATTCATTAAAGCCTTTTAGAGATTTTCGCAAAGCTACCTTCTGGTCTATATTGCATTTTTTAAGTAAATAAGTTAAAAATTATAAAAATCAGCTTACATTTTTAAATAGAAAGCATAAAATTTCCGATTTTGGCTGGTATAAATGTAACGTCCGTTTACGAGAATTATAATCAAAATTAATAAATCCACTTTTAATGGGTTCTATCCGTGAACATAAGCTTCCTTATACCATCAATCAATTAGTTGATGTGACATCCTAAACTATAATAAGGAAAACGAAATGTTAATTGAATCTATCTAAGGACATCATGAAAATGGTCATTATATTTGCAAAAACCTGAAACCATTTTTGCTTTCGGTTGCCACAACAGGACCGTTAAAAATGATACACACAGAAAAAAAGTCGCTAAAACGGATAAAATATGATTACAGTAGATTTAGGCTGACTATCCTCTGCTGAAGTAGACTAACATGTCAATACCAAGGTGATGTGAAATGAACAGAATGCCATAAAAGATCGATTTCGGGGACAAAATTTAGCTGAATCAAATTCTTTAGCATGAAATTTATTATATGTTTACCAACTGGCACTCAGTACACCTCTTTAAGCGGTTCTATTAAACCAAAAACCAAACTTCACGCATTACTTAAAATACCCTTCGTAACTCTACAGTAGATTTAAGCGATTCAATGAGCCAGTTATGGAGCAACGGTCGATGCGACGCCTAGGTATTCACGCACACACCAAAAGCGTAAAGCCTCAGAATAAGGCCACAACATTGAGTAAACTCAAACCGAGGGAACTTGTATGTTCCGGGGGCAAGTAAGCAATGCTACAATAGCACATTGAGTAATAAACAAAAAAAGTTGCCCAACCCGTCCGAATTGTCACTTGCGATAATGTGCTTCTCAAGTAAATGCTAACGAATTGATTACTTACTTTGAGTGTCGATGGGACCGGTCCAGCGGATTTTTGTGCTGGTTTTCGCCATCGCATGACACCACGTTCGTAAGAAATGTTTGAGAGGTGCTTTCCCATGTCGCTTCTCTTATCGTTACAGTACCGCCACTGCCCCGTAGATTGGTCTAGCTCGTAGAACGGCAGAAAAGTCCATGCGTATTTTGCCACAAATATAATTGCATCAAGAACAAAGTCGATTTCTTCATCCGGATAGAAGAAAGGTAGGTTGATTCGTGTGAAACCAGGGCTGAAAAGGGGAATCACGGAAGGAATTTGGAAATGGTAATTTATATTACAGCGACTACAAAACTATCTTTATGGTGGCAACAGCTTATATTAAGTAGCATCTTCGAGGCCAACTTTATAGCACATGTGTAACGTGAAGAACTTACCGAAGGACTTTATGTTCAAGAATTTCCTCATTATCTCTAAACAACAAATCAAAAGAGCAATGTTTAAAGGGGCTTGAGTATCAACAGAAGAAATCCAAAAGCTCAACAAATTGGCACCAATTCTAGAAGGCATAGTGTACCAAAAAAGGCATGGCTTCCCAGTCATTAAAGCCTATTACGTGATCCAGACTTTTGTTCTGTATGATATAAGCCTGTTCGATAACTACAATAGTTACGACCAAATTAACCTTAATCAAACAATTTCTTATCGAACCAAATGTTCCAAATCAAGTACTTTAGATTTACACATGATGTTAAGATTTACATTTTCAAAACCCTTCGGTTTTGTAATGGTATCAATTCTTGAAGCCTCATTCTCGATTCCCAACAAGAAGCTTTAAAACAAGCGACCCTGGAAATAGTCATCGACTTGCTTGAAAACATTGACAAGATGTAAAGATGAAATGGGTGACAAAATAAAGCGACTTGCTTGGAAAGTATCGTATCCTCATAACTGATAGCAAGAGCCTCGTTTATTCCAAGAAGGTCAAGGGCATACGGTCCAGCACATGCACATCCCGAGCGAGACTGAATCCCAAAAAGGTCATTTAGCAATGCACAGATAAAGTCGTGATGGATAAAAAGACAGTTGTTATGTTTCTCCCCATCTACTAAAACAATCTTTTTGTTTTTCAAATGGCCGCCGCGCACAAAATTTTCTCGTGAATGACGAATAAGAAAGGAGAAAATTGCGATTCTTCTGGCCTTGCTACCTCCAAGAACCACGAGGTTTGGACATTGTGAAAGTCGAGTCCAAGCATAACTACAAGAAGCATTTGCAATTTCAGTTAAAGTGCAAATTAACGGAAAATATTGTCAAGTAACGTACTGAACTAGTTCATCCTCCCTTTTTCTAATAAGTTTTGTACCAATAGCTTCCTTCAGTTGAATCACCATACCAGCACGAATGGATCCAATAATTGCTGGAGTCCCTCCTTCTTCCCTATTTTCAACATCCTGCAGATCAAATAAAAAATTAATGAGATGGAGTTTTAATTTTTGCACCACAATAATATGTCCTCATACTTTGACATATGACGTGTGTTTTCGGCGAACAAAACTGACTGTTCCACCTCCACTCTGGAATGGATAATTTTCGCCAGCTTCAAAAAGTTTCTTTTTAGCAACAAGTATTCCTGGAGTTTGAGGTCCCCCAACAAACTTGTGGACTGAGAAAAATAAGGCGTCTTTGTAAGCATTATCCACACCATCCCTGTGATATAAAGAAGAATTATTAACGACCATAAGGTAAAGTAAGCATTTAATCCAAAAAACACACACTTCGGTGAAGGGTTCATGTCCATTTCTACATATGGAGCTGCTGCTGCGTAATCCCAAAATATTATTCCTCCATAGCGATGAACAAGCGACGACGCTGCATTTGTGTCTACCAAAATGCCAGTGACGTTTGAGGCTGCCGATAGGCAGACTAACATTTGGCATCCAAGTTTCTTTGCTGTTTTACCTTCAACCTTTAATATTTACAAAAACTAATAAATGAAAAACAGTCAATATCATAAAATCTCGACTTTAAAACTTTCGGGGCACCTTGAGTGCTTCCTCTAGATAACTCATTGAGACACCGCCATCAGTGTTTGTTTTTAACCGAATAACTTTTTGTGCAAGGTGACGCCATGGTAGCAAGTTTGAATGATGCTCAAAAGGTCCAACAAAAACAATCTAAAAAGTAAAATATTAGTGAAAATTCCCAAACCGGGGGCTCCGAAAGATTTATGTTGTGTATGAGTTTGTGGATTGCACCTGTGGTTCCGCTCCCGACAAACATTATTGCATCAGATTCCGTTGCATTGACTGCGCTTTTAATTATAGCCCTAAAAATTTAGATTAGACAAGAATGCACTTCGCGTCATTTCTGTAGCTTGTTGTTTGACAGGACATTCCCGCAAGAAAAGAATGAACATTTGCGTATTCGGGAAGTACTTCATTAATTATAAACTCCTCAAAAAACTTAAGGCTTAAGCCAGATGCCGTAAAATCACAGTAGACAACTAAAAATAAAGTTTGAAAAATGAATTACCTTTTCTGTCACCGAAAGGTCCTCGCACAACGGCACTGGAACTCAATAAATTTGAATGAATATATGACAGTAATCTTTTACCCCTAGGAACACTTTTAGATCTAAAAGGCAGGATATATTCGAAAAGCCTGCACTACCTTTCCCTCGACATTTCGACAGCAAATGAAATCAAAGGGAGTTCCACCGCGCACTTACTTGAAATCGGGTGTTAATAGTATATATAAATAATTCAAGGTCAAAAGCAAATTTATGAAAGAATTGCAATTTAAAAGTTTGCTCTTAAAGTTAATTATCAAATACATACCTGATATACTAAATTTATGTATCTGATTGCTTAACCTACAACTGGCCACATAATATGGAACATTAATAAAAAAAACATTAAAAAATAATAAATGACACAAAATGCATGTGCGTTGTACAAATATTCTTGCACTATGCAATGAAGATATAATACCAAGGAAAAAAAATAGATTTAACACCTGCTTTGAGAACTTATAAACTTAGTTTAACACAGATCCGCTTGACATTAGCGAAATTTACTAAATATGAATTAAAGATCCCAGGAGAGGAGTCCGTGTTTATCTGGCTTCTTCAAAACCAATAGTACTGCTTAACTCGGCGTATTTTTTTACAGCTTAGTCGATCTTCATTTCAAGGTAAGCTAAAAATTTACATCAATTCTCAAACACGAAAAGCGAATCATATTTTTACAATAAAAGGAGACTTTTGCACAATGACTAGTATATTCACACATCGCAAACATTAACAAAGCTGATACTATGTTTTAAAACTAGCAAAAAATCTGCCAAATTTTATAATAGTACCGAATCCTAACTGTGCATATATTTATGTATTGTTGTCCGAAAATTTTAATTTTTGTTGGGGGAGAGCTTCTGAATTAAATTATTAGAATAATGCTTCAATCCCTCAAAATAGACTATTATCATTGTATATTTATTGTATTCTCTCAATTGTTCATTGTTTTTACAAAAAAATTCGCAAAAGGGACCGCAAATTTGATGAATTATCACCAGCATAAATTGTTTCGAAAAAAAGCATAATAATTAGGGTCATAAGTACCGGCATATTAATCGATAATGTACAATCAAATTAATTGCTTACTTTTGATCATTCCCAAAATTTCACATTAAACATCCGCCTTTTATGTGTTTTACTGGTCACAAAAATTGTTCGTTAAATCATTTTAAATCAATGATCAGATGTCGCCGACAGTCGGTGACTTCACGATAATTGGATACCTAGCTAATCGGTTAATATTAGTTAAAGAAATGTCTACTAATAAGTACTAAAAATCATTAAATTTTCTCTAGTATATATGCAATTGATCAGCATGCAGCGCATGAACGCGTCTTGCTTGAAAGTTACATTAGTTTGTGGAAGAAGGAAAATGTATTCAGTCTAGATCGACGGTGCTTTGGATTTATTGTTAGGCAAAATATTACAATTAAATTGACTTCAAAACTGTCAAACAACTTGATGCAAGTTCTGTTCCTTGATTTGAAAAACTTCGGCGTTGTAGTGGAATCGTTGAACTCGTCAGAGAACGTGGCACTAAACACCTTCCCTGTTAGTATACCACTTTGCTGCACCCTACCACAAAAGTTTTTATCATTGATATCCAGATTCATCGCAGCCCGAGTTGATTACGTAAACGGAAGATCCTTAGATCCAGATTCTGGCGTTTTATTTCTCGAGTAAGTTTGACAATGTACTTTTTCTGGTTTTGGATAAATACATTCCTAATTAAGGTACTTCTGTGGAAGGTCTAATTTACTTTAATTTGCTGCTATTGTCTGTGACCAACACGTTCATGGTGTAATTATCGTTTATTCCACTAATTTCATCTTCTTGCAGTTAATCAATGAACAGTGCATCATGTAAATTTTGTCTTTTTTCCTTGAACAATATTCGTTAATGGCTTGCCGTCTCCTAAAAGTACCTGAACTGTTCGCAATTGTTGCATGAACTTTGCCGATGCACGATTATAATCAAGCCCAAATTTTGATATACATCAGGCACACTTCTGGTATTCATTCATACGGATTTTTTGCCCTGATTAATATGTCCATATTCCGCATTTTTATACAAGTAATATTATTCACATTTTCTGTTTCTAGTGCTGCTGTTGTTCTCCTTTTGCAAACAAAGGCTTGTAGGTCGGCCATCAGATTTGGGGATCCAATTAAACTGGAAGAGCAATCTAAGCTTCTGAAACAATTGTTGCAATGTTCACAGCCGTTTCACTGTGCTCATGGACGACCATCTTTTGCCCCTTTACTGAAGGTCATTCATTCGAAAAACGGTCTATGTTTACACCAACCAATGCCCTAGGAGACTGACAAGAAATCACGACTTTCGCTACTAACTCTAAATGTTTACCAAAAGCATATAGTCGCCTAATCGTTTTCAAAAGTAAAACCACTTATATTTGGATTCTTACTTCAGTTTTGTGTTTGCTACTCATCTTTCACATTATTGATTTCATTTACTAGCACCTGGTGTATGCAAAAGCATGTAAACAATATTTTTTGCCATATGGACTGCATAAAAAACTTTTTCTACGCATCTTGAATGTTACACAAACGTTGAAATTTTGTAACTAATTTTCTGGTTATACTGATAATCTTCTCTTAGAGTTACTTTTTATCTATAATGCAAAAATTTATTTAGGGTGTTGCTCCAAATTAAATAACCCATATAGGACAAAAAATTATGTCCGGTGTCTTAAAAAACTCGCAAGCTATTTTAGGAATCATTATACCTCTCACGTCCTAGAAAAGTTGATATTTATATCCCCGTCAGTTTTATGAAATTAAGCAAAATTGGATTTACGCAGAAGAAATGCAAATGCAGATCTTTTTGCAGTAAGGCATCACTAATGCCCATTTCAGCCCACTGATACGCTTTCCAATGTGCGTTGAAAGTCTATTCACTGTTTTTGCATTAGCTCAGTTCCATTCGACATTCACTAATTTGATTACATGCATAACTGTTGTGACAAATCAATTTGTCAAGTCATTGTATAGCAAACACTTCTGATCAAATCCTAAAAAGCGATAATTCAAGTCAAATCCCCACATTTCTCTGGGCAAAGAGGTGCGTAACCGGATATTTTATGGCTGAGGAGAGGTAGTGGGATGAAGTATTAAACTTTCATTGTATGAGTCAGAAGCATACCTTTCGATATGTGTGTATACACGACAAAATTAATTCAATGAAAATAAAGCCTCAGAGCTCCCTAGTGAATAATTCTTTGCAAACATTCTGGTTGCTGGCCGCTTGGACCGAACAGCTAAAATGGACGTCCAAAATTATACGCACAATGAAAAGTAATTCTTGACAGTACCAAGCAATAAAATAAACTAGGGAATACTAAACTAGATTAATGCATTCAACAAACGAAAAAATACAGCTCAATCTAACAAGTATTCACTGACGTTAGTTTATAAAAAAACTTGAAATCTACTTTGAATCAATTGGACTTAGTTGCACGCAGAACGACTCCAAGTTCAATAAAAACATGCACAACACACCATTTGACCTTGTTCATCTTAAACAATGCTGAAAAAATTCTAATTTATTTGTCTTATAGATATCAATTGCGTTTATTCTAAGAAACTTGATTTAAGGACAACCATCCAAAATGTGCTGGTACCGGAATAGCAAACCCATCTAAATTCCATGAAAACATCTTCAATACCAATTCAGCTCTGTGATTAATACGTATAATTATTCGTTACACATTGAAAGCGATCTAAATTGGCATTATATTTCGTCTCTTTTCCCAGATTTTAATAGATGTCAATGGCTTTTTATGAACCAATAAAATACGACTAAATAATTGACAATTGAACAGCTCATTTCTGCTTCCTGAATTGAAGTGAATAAACAATGCCTTCTGAGAGGCAAAGACAATATTCCTAACTCAGTCGAAGCACGATCATTACGTGTAATTTTAGAACTAAGTAAAGTCATTAGACTTACGTGATACACCATTTTGTGGTAAAATTAATTAGATTCGTATAAGAAATGGAATTTATGTTTCTTGTTGAATTTTTAAATGATCTACACGTTAAGAAGCTTTACATTTATACGTTTCGATTTTTTGCTTGATTTAGTTCAAGTTAATTTAAATGACCCAAAACAACTGTAGAATACCCGAGCCCTAGTATGAATAAGATTGGTACAACATAATAGGCTTTATTGACCAATCAAAAGCCAGAGCCCCACGTCTGGCACCTTCCATCCGAGTCCACCACGCTGACCACGTCGCTCAATATATACTGCTCCTCATTCGCGTCTTTTTCTGTTTGGCTGCCTATCTTCCTTGCATGCCACAGGAACACAGAGAGACAGAGGATTGGCTGAGGCCAGTGTCCAATACGTCTGCGCCCTCAAACGTCGCCACACTACACAACTAGTTCTCTATCAAAGCACCCCTATAATTTCGGTAAGTTTTTTATCAAACGAGTTTAAATGAAGGTCATTCATGAGTTGATTAAACCCCATCGATAGTCTATTGCTATTGACGTTGGATTTTCACTCACGCACTCTGCTATAAGAGACTTGGTTCGCCAAATGCAAATAAATCGTTATATTCGCTATTATCTGTCATGCCTTTCTTCACTGGCTGTTACGGACTGTCATTTAGAAGGTTTGTAGATCAGTGCAAACGAAGGCGCTATATATTGTACAATGCAGCTGTACTGCAACATTTGACAGCAGGAAAGTGTAGAACCTGAATAATTAAAGAAGCGTTATTGGTAGTTATTTACATTGGCTGCAAACGGATTTTTCACTCACTAGAAAAACTCTCCAAGTGTGTTTATTCAGATCGACTGCGCGAAGGGCACCATTAAATCACAATGTATTACGCAGATATTTGAAAATTTGCGTTGCCAGATATAGGGTTTAAAACTGCCAAATTGAATGGAAAATTAGTGGAATCTAGTAATTAGCTGATGAAATTGGAAAATAAGAAAGATATGCAAAATGTCGACAGAACCCTTCTATTTAAATTTGTGGAACTTGTAAGAAACTGTTGCATCTTCAGGTAATTGCACAACAGTTGGGAATAAATATAAATTTTGGAACACAAGGGGGATTTTTAGTTTACTTTAAATTTATTTTATTCATCACAGTTAGCTTAAGATTCTACACATTCCCATACCCAGCGACAGCAGTGTTATTGACCATTGAAGTAGTCCTAATCCTGCACCAACGAGCACAAGTAGGAAGCCCACTCAAAAGCGCTTCAAATTATTCAGCGTATATTAGAAAATATGCTGATGGTTTAAAAAGTCACTATTAGCCATGGCTGTCCAGCGCACGTCTATAAGAATTCATTAACTCATACGTACTTAGCGTAGAGCTCAACTTGTCATCACTGGAAAGCAGCGTCTCTTAAATTTTCGCATCATTAATATTTGTGCATAGTTATAAGACCGCAAGACAGCATCTTTTTATATAATGATCTCGTTGCTCTCTTTAGAGAAGTAATGGGATGGCAAGTGCAGAAGATATTTATCCTTATCCTCCCTTAACAATGCGTCAGATAATTTTTTAGCATGATTTTACTTATTAGTAGCATACGAAAAGACAATAACTCTTTTAAACAGATGCATGGTATTTCTTTCAAAAACCCCAATTTTTCTTCAAAGGAATTATTAGTGCTCTCGTTTCCAGGTCACAAAGATTTGCACCTTGTCGTGTGTTTCACGTTAAAATCGCTATAAAAAACTCGTATTACCACGAGATGTGACCTTTATGAAGTATTGGTCACAATAATCCCGCCTCATCAAAAGACAACCGATTTTTTCACTTACAGCTGCGAAATAAAATTTAGCGCTTATTTTTTGACCACTTTAAATCTGGTGATTGTGCATTGTTAAGCATTTAGTAAGTGTTTACCTAGTACAAAGTAGACAGTTTAGTTATTTAAAATCGCAAAAATGATAATAATGTTTATATTTTTAAATGAATTTTATGGTAACGAAACCTATTTTCGTGCTTTTTAGCAATCTTGTTTAAGTATACGTTGGTTAGCGTTCGTCTTACGAAATCAGGCGAAGGGTGTTCTTAGTTTATCTTGCTCGATTGTGTTGCCGCCACCTTGCAAAAAATGAAATTCGGAAATACCCAAAGGCTGATATTTATGATGGTTCTCGTTATTACGTACTTTCTGGTCGAACTTATTACGGGCTACATTGTCCATTCTCTTGCATTGGTAGCAGATTCATTCCATATGCTTTCGGACTTTATCGCACTTTGTGTTGGAGTCGCTGCATCTAAAATCGCTAAATGGCCTCGGTCCTCAAAGAATACGTTTGGATGGCAGCGTGCTGAGGTGGTTGGCAGCCTCATTAACACGGTCGTCCTTGTTACTTTGTGTTTTACCATTTTTGTTGACGCTGTTGAGAGGTTCATTCAACGCGAATCGATAGATGAACCTCAAGTAATGGTCTACGTTGGAATCGGAGGTCTCATCATTAATATTCTTGGTCTCCTTGTAATTGGGGGGCATTCACATTCCCACGATGCACCTGCTCTTACTTTGGATATGGACGAGGTAGGTTGGTGCTCAGTAAATTGGCTTAGAATGACCTGATGTGTTGCTTCATTATTAATTCCTAATGACGTAATTTGTTGTAGTGTGAATAATATTTTGTAAATACTGGGTCTTAAATGTTTCGATTTTCAGATGTGATTTGAATGGATTCACTTTAATCAGTCTGCTTTATCCATTATTTCTTAAGTATTACTGAAGTTTATGCCCATGCACACGCTTCCTTATTGATTTAGGTAAATCTCGAAGATGGTCTCAATGAAAGTGATTATAATTTAGTAGACAGTAAGCCAGGGGCTGGTGAGGCAGAGCAGCCACTTCCTAATGGAGGTGCTCGCCTCAGTGTCTATGAGGTCGTTGATCCCGACTATGGTACAGGTGGTGATGTTAATGAAAGAATTGGCGGCTTATGCCCCTGCCTCCGGCGGTGGCGTGGCATTCGTCGGACTAGTGAGGCAGATCTGGCCCATGAAAATTGCCATCTCTCACCTTGTCCAAATAGTAGCACAAAGAAAACACACAAACAAGGTAAATATATATTTGATATTACTCAAGGATGTGATTTAATTACATTTTATATATAGTGACTTTTTATCTGTTAGAACTGAATGTTGGTTTTCTTTGATATATCCCACTGTCTTCAGGGTGCGTCTTTCGCGCCAATAGTGTTAGCTTGTTAACTGTCAACTAAAGCCATGACGCTGCAGGACGATTCTTCATTAGACATTTTTGGGACTTTTATCTCATTAGTGGTCGTCAAATTGTGCACGTGTCCGTTCGGCTTACTAAGTAAATGCATCTGCGTATATTCATGTAACAGATACAGCGCGTGCGATCGGGAAACGGAAAAGTGCGTTCTTTTCGTTTGCTTGTGCTTGTCCATTTATGCTTCAATTAGGCACCTCTTTATTCAATATTTGTATGTGTATGCACCCTGTCATTAACTCAGTTTGTTCACTCTAATGTCTGTTTTTATCCAAAATACTTAAAATTGCTTTAATCAAGTCTAAGTACTTGACGCAACTAAGTACAATGTTCTAGTGACAGGTAGAGTTTAGAATATGTTCACTCTTCTCCCACTTTTAGCTTTAAATACTAGCAAACTTACCTCAGATATAAAGTATGAGGAGAGAATATTTGGCCCCACATTTGAAACTTAGTCATAACTCTAAAAATTACTTTTCACTAGTACTTTGTTTATAAGCATAGTCCATGCTTTTTTGACATCAGGTATGAGATCGGTGTAAAATGTGTAAAAACGGTTGCCCCGTGTTCCAAGCTAATGTCAAATCGATATTGTCACATGTAACTCATATTAATCCCCGTTGTGTTGCATGCTTCCACCGTACCTCTCTTATGTCTGCACCGTTTGTGCTTGAGTTGTGTTACCAGCTGCTGCTCGTCTGCCATTGTCTTTGCAAAATACTAACCGTCTGTTTTTCCCATGGTAGGGCAGTCGATGAATATGCGCGCTGTGTTTTTACACGTGTTCGCTGATTTCCTTGGTTCCGTCATTGTCGTGACAAGTGCGTTGATTCTCTGGCAGGTACCTGGCGATCCAAACGAACCCGAAAACAGCTGGAAACTTTATATCGATCCTGCGATGAGGTGAGTTATGATTCATTTGGAACGTTGTTGCTTTCGGAATGGGTAGCTTGGGATATTAATTAAAACCACGTTAATTTGTCTCCAAAATCTTTTATCCTGTTTTAAATAAAGCATAGTACTAATTTGGCTGAGGATAATCAACCTAACGTTTTTTTCTAATCACTTTAATAAATCTTTCCACAACGCTCAGCTGTTCTATGAAAAACCGTGCTTTTGATCTGGGTCACTACATAATAGACAGTGGCCACTTCAATAATTAGTGTAATCGTTGCGCTGAACAAATCCGTATCAACAGCACTTCAAAACTGATAATATATCGGAAATTCTCTTCATTTATTAATGAATCTCAATTTTCCGTGATTCTGTTGCACGTCATTGCCGTTCAAAGGTGTTTGATGGCTTCGCATGCATATTGAGTGCCTAAAATGCTGAAGTTTTGTAATGTTGGTGGCTGCGACCGGGTCACATTCAGAAGCCCTTCATGCTCAATAGGGTCTTCGTTAAGAAAATGTAAGTCTTACAATAGTGATGTCCAAGGCACAGCCAGGTAGGTTTGCTCGTGGATATGTTCCAGGCCTAAAATCAACACCGCGCCTATAAGGATCTCATTCAAATGCACGTTAAACACTGAACCTTACTGGGCTAAATAACTAGATGAGTTTTGCCACATTGCACACGTAGAGATGACCACGTGTGTGACATTAAATTCACTTTGCTACAAATTTATTACTTTTTTGTGGATTCACGTGATTGCTAGTAATAAATAGTATGAACTTTTACTCAACTCGGGATTGACATCATGCATTTACCTTGCGGAATAGCATATGCAACCCATAGGTTTGGTAGATTTGTAGTACTACGTTCAGCCATCCATCCTTTGCACCCACTCAAATCCTCCGTCAGCTGCCGACCTACCTTTTTAGTAACTAATTTCTAACATTCTTTCCTTAATTAAAGGTGAATTTTTATCATTTTAGCATCTTCATGGTTATCATTATTTTATCCTCCACACTGCCGCTGCGTACGTCTCATTCATTAAACGGTGCTTATTTTCGTTAATTGTTAAAAGACATTTTTCTAGCCTCCCGCGCAATCTGTGCGGCGTTTGGGCCTGGTTCATGTGCCGGTTTGGCTAGTGAAAAAGGCTTCCTCCTGTGGCTCGCCTCCCAAACACGCGTCGTGACCTCAGTGCAAGTGCGACCGACAAATGCCTTTGGCCTGTCTAAGCCGCCGTGTAAACCCCAGCCATGATTTAAAGTAGAGTGTTTTGGTGTATTCGACTCCAAGATTCTCACCGTTTAAACCACCTTTCATGAACTTTGTAAATAATAAGTTGACCTATCCAAATGTAAACTGTGTTTGAATTCTTTGCAAACAGGCTTCGTGCCAGAGCGCCCCGATTGCACTTATTTCATTCCTGTGTAGCTAACCAACCTTTGTCCTAAAGCTTTTTTTCATGTACCGGTGCTCCTTTAGGGTGATTTCCAAGGGAAGCGCGAACTGTTCAACGCTTAAACAAGAGTGGTTCGGATGCTCTACAGTAGTATAATTTCTGTTTATTTATGAACTTGCCATTTTATAAATCCAGGGTCTGTTGCAAGATAAGCAATCGTATGAATTATTTGCATCGTGATTTAAAATTGAAAAGATGGACAACCTTAACATTTGTTTCCTTCAAAGGTGACGTCTGTTTTCGAAGAAATCATTCTTCTCTGTTCAGATAATTTTATTTGAATTTTATTACTGGATAAGAATGTTCGTGGGTCCAGATAATCCAAATGGCATATGTCATTGTACGCGAAAAAAGCAACCCATAAAATTAAGTACTGACATCTTTCTTGACGCAGTAAATTTCAGGTGGAAGAAGAATGCTTTTAATGGGCAGCATCTAACTCTGATTTAACCCACCCTTCTGTTGCCCCTGCTCATGTTTTAGCTGTCTCCAGTGCATTTAAAAAGACTTAGCTCAGCAAATTGTGAACAAGAGTCGGAACACACCATCAACTTGAAGCACAGCTTCTTTTATCTCGAGGTTGTGTGATGCTGCTCTCACATTTATGCTTTTCCCCAATATGCTGATGAGTGTGCGCACCGACAAACGGCTCTTCTTTTTGCATACCACAAAACCTGGGTGTGTAGCTGTTTTTTGCACCCTGACCGTAAAGTAACTCTGGGTTTTGTTCATGAGTTTATGGGAGAAGAGGAAGGCTCTTGCTTGAACGTGCAGTGGCCGGTTTGGCGCTGTCCAAGCTGGTAACTGCAACTGTGTACGAACACCGAAACGCAATCCATAACTTGAGTGGTAAATAAAGTCGGTGTTTTCGCGTGGGGCGTGTTGCGGGTCGAAGTTCAGGGCTCATAAGCCTAGTGCTAACCGCAGCTCCTAATCTCGCTAGTTAAACGCCTTCTGGACGCTCTGTTTGATCTTGAAGCCATGGCAACTCAAATTCAGGTTGAGACTCGTGATATTTTCCCCTAATCATTACTATAATTCTACTAATTCCATTACTCTGAACACAAGCCGTAGCCACGTAAACGATGAGAAGTACCGATGTTTCTAGTTTATTTAAATCATTCCGTTTTTTGTAGTGTACAAGGCGGCGCTCATTCTTCTCCAATCTGTCCCAAAAGAAATTTGCATCAAAAACCTAAAAAATCGACTTGAAAAGGTAGGATTTTTAGTATCCACATTTGCCGCTGTTTAACTTCTTATGTTCATAAAAGTGCTGACAAAGCGAGCTGTTTGTGTTTTTAGTTTTCCTTGCTGAAGGAAACAGAGAAAGCAGAGTTGTTCTAGTCATTTCGCTTTCACAATGTTATGCAGTGTTGACTTCATTGGCACGGGACAGTTTTGTACCTAATTTCAATACTCTGTGCACTTTGTGGAGAAAAGTTATTCCCCGGTAGATAAGCAGCCTATTTCTCGAGGTGATTTTTTGTAGTTTCTCCTGCGTCTGTTGGGTGATAATCACGTGGTCTGTCGTGACAACTTCTTGCGTCAGTTCAGATTAAATTATGCGGACTGGCACACCGTGGTTCTTTACACTTGCACGCCATCTCTCCTGGGTCAGGGTTTTGTGCGTACGCCTCCCCTGCAAACATGCCAAGTCCCCCTTTCCACTTTCCACGGTCACGTTTAGGTTAGCACCGTAAGGTTAGATTGTGTCAAAACTATTTTGAGTCTCAGGAGCCAGGTCTGCGCTTGGACCACGGTAGGCCTCCGCATGCGCCCACGTCACTGTACTAGCCGTGCCCGATTCGATGGTGTTAACATAATTAATTAGTTCCCCTGGACATTCTGTACCAGATTGGTGCAAAGCTGTCTCGTATTTATCCGTTAATTTTTTGTCGTAGTTTCTCCTGAAAATGGCCAGCTTTACTTAATGCATTCACAAACCAATGTTCATTGTCTCCCACATCTGCCATAGCGTGTGCGCCTGTAATGTCCTTGCGCACCTGTTTACCGTCATAGACGACACCGGGTACTGGCACATCCGGTTGGTTGTCGTCTGCGTTCTCACAGATCATCTCTTAGTACATTGTCGTTTCACTTTCTGACTTCCATCTAGGTGTCTGGAAAGATGGGCTTTGCTTATCTATTGACTTTTTCTTTTCGCCTTCTACACTTCCCGAGTAAGGTCTGTGTTGAAGTTGAGGGCTTTTTTTCTGTCAGTCTGAAGAATTTTTGTGGAATGCCAAACTCGTGATAGTTGACCTGGCTTCGCTCTTGAAGAAAACCTTTCCCTCTGGAAAAATTGATCAATTTAATGCGCGTTGGGGACTTCAAGTTCTGGCCTTGGTTTCGAAAGATAGGGGCTCATGACACCCGACTCCTGTGAGTGTTCGTGAATGGGTGGATCGTGTAGCATTCTGCAAAACATTGAATCAACGTCAAGACACCACCAAACAACTTTGTTTGCCGTGATCCTATGTATTTGCTGAAACGCGTTATGGTTGACGTGAAGTCGTTATCTTCCTTTTACCAAGTTTGCTGATTTTTCTTACAAATTCACTTTAAGTGTTGAAAAGTCATATTTTACCAGTAATTTCCGCAATTTGTTGATGGTAGTTGCGCCTTGTTAAACTCCTTTGTTCTCCATGCATTAGAAGTACACTTAAATATACAGGGTTGTAAAGGTTTGTCGCAAAATGCGCTAAAAGTGGTAAATTTTGACTAAATTAAGATGAAGTCAAATTGCGAATCCTCCAATGCATTTTTTTAAATTTGTTTTGGTGTAGTCAACCGGTGTAGTACCGACCTGTATCGTGGGCCGTAAACGAACGCAACAAATTAATTTATTAGGAATTAAAGGCTGCAAATCACTTGTTGTCATAGGAAAATTGTATAATTAGTTAACTTGAATGTCGCAACTCATCCCACTGCAGATACGGTCCCCTTTTGGAGGATTTTAAATATCCTATTTGTATTGTCTATTCTGTAGATTGATGGCATTGTGCGCGTTCACGACCTTCATGTTTGGAAGCTCCAGAGTAATTGCATTATTGGGACAGTGCATCTTCGTGTCCGCAGCTTGCGTAAGTGCTTCTTGGATTTCACACATTTGTTGTAAGCCTAGACTCGTCGTTGCTGCATTTCGGCTTGTATGTGTTTTCCACATTCTGCCCCCGTTGGATCATCTCCATTGCAGTTAGTCTTTATCGCTCTCATTCAACACGTTTCTACATTTGACTTTGTGGCCGCCGGTGCTGTCTCCTTACCGCTGGGTGCCTGTCACTTCCAAATGCCCCTGTACTAATTCCAACTTTTATGCATCTTAATCTTGAGGTCGACAACTTGCAGATGGTACCTCACAAGCCGGCACTTCCTACTCCACTTACGCGTTTCTCGCATTGCTCTGGTGTTGCCTCTTTCAAATCGTTTGGCTCTCTCGTACCTAACTGTCGTCGTTTGTAACATTGGCATTAAATAATGTGAACTTCATCGCCGCAGTTCTTTAATTGTTCTAGCTGTCATAAAATCATATTGTGTTCTGGTCTCGCTCCCCGCCTAACTTACTATGGCAAAACATCACGTGGTAATTAATTCTTGCCTAAAAAACACTGCGAGCTTCTAATTGCATTCGGGCAGTGTCGTAGGCGTCGTGTTCGTCACAACTACTTTTAATGACGGGGCAGTTTTACAGTCGTTTAGACCTCCTTCGCATTGAGTTCCAGTGGTCAGCAAATAAACAATACGCGAGTTTTCCCTGGTCGCTGAAGTCTCAGTGCTTCTCTGCTCGTTTACATATGTTGTTAAATTGGTCATTTTATTCCCCTTAGTTTTGTTGCTTACACATTCAAAGTTGCTTAAAAATAAAGCACGCATAGGGCTGTCTTGGTTGGGTACACTTTCATACAAACTTGGCCTTCCTATTCTTCGAGCATCCCACGCTGTCGTTTCAAATATCGAGTGAGTTGCTAGTTTTTGGTGATTTGAATAAGTATAACGAATTTTAGCACTTTCCGGTAAAATCCCTTGATTTTTTTCCGTATTTTAATTTTTATATATAATGCTACTTGGTTAAATAAATGCGTGTTTTAAAGCTAGTCGTCAATGCGATTTTCGCGTTTTTTTCTCGCACCAGGAGCCTTTCTAACTAATTGACTTGGGAAATTGCAGTAACTGTGTCACCAAGCATCAAATGTTATCACGCAGGTGCCAGGCAAAGGGCTCTGTGTAACGTTTAAGTCGCCTTCAATCCTCAAACCGTTGCCACTTTGTTGTTGCCTCCATCCGAAATCATCGCGTCTTGACGCACCTTTGTAAATAAGTCATGATTTGTAAGGGTAAAGCGTTGTTTAACACCTGCCTTCTGATTTGCTCATTTCTGTGCAAAAAAATAGTTGAGTGGATGCTGTTATTTAGACCATGATCTCGATAGTAACAACAAAGTGCAAGTGCACGCATAGTTAATTTTGATCAATTCGCTTACTTCACTTCGGCGATATCGTTTTGATTTCATTTTGTGCTAATGACTTTTCTGATCCTCCAGATATTTACCGTAGTGCAAATTATGCATGTGGGTGCAAGTGTTTTGAGTTAGAAATGGATTTGCTATTTAATTCAAACAAAGTATTTTTCGCTGATAACTAGCAAACGACATCAGTTTTAATCGGTATCACTCTCGTTATCGACGTGTTCACTAACTCTAGCTGAGAAAACTGCCAAAGATGTAGCAGGGCATAATTTTGTCTTGTGAGGTGCAGAGGGGACAATTCCACTGGAGCTCAAGTTCTAGATGATGCATCAGCTTGGTAACTACCTTCTCCAACTGATTGGTTTCTCCCTTTTTAACTCCAGCTTTGTCCACTTGTATCCTCTATCTTCATAGGTTATTGTTGTAAGTCGTCCACTTTCCTTCACAATACTTTCTGTTTTTCACATTTTTTTCCCGCCATCCGCTTTATTCGCCTCAGAAATTATTTTTTACGGATATAATTGCCGCCAGTAAATGAATCGGACACTCCATTTTCATTCGATTCGATCACCGCCGCATTATGCTTCGCTCCTGTGGTTCGCTTTCAGAATTAAATGCCCAAAGCTTTCAGCAACATCCATGGCTTATTACGGATTCGATGCATCCTTTTTTGTGCAATAATTTGTGTTCATTTTGCTGTTCAATCAGTTGGTGTGTTGTGCTTACTCCACGAGGTCTGCATTCCAGGGTTAATTTTGCCTGCCCATAAGCCACGTACAGAAATGATTTTTGTGTTTTGAGGCGGCGTGTTGTGGTCCGTGTCGATGTCCGGCATGTAACCACTTTCTGCCTCGTTTATCGAGTATGATGTGATTTCTAGGTCATGTGTCGTTGACACGGTATTTTAACTATCAGGTTGTCTGACACAAATGCCAAAGCATCGTAATTACGCCATCATCCGGACGCCTATTTCGCTCTAATGAACTTGCAACAATTTCTAGTCTAAATATCATCAATCTCTGTCTATTGAGGTTCGACACTTGATATTTAGCTATCACTAAATTGACATGCACAACACACTGTTGTCAAAAGGCGTTAATTTTGTGAGTATTTTGCATGAGACTTGCTAATTAACTTTCCAAAATAAGCTTTTTTCTTTTTAATTATTCTCATAAGACTTCTTGAAACGTGACTTGACTGATGCGTCGTTCTCCAAAGCTTAACCGCTTGGTTGAATTTAGCGTGATTCTCATTCAATCATAATTATTTCGCAACCTCCTATCCGCGTGCATCTTTCAGGTGTATGATTGTTTTGGGAATTCCGTTCTCCAATCACATTACTGTTAAACCCTGCCCTTTCTCGATGAACACATTTGTCAAACTATCGCATTAGAACTTTAGGCTTTTCGAATCTGGTAGATGTAATTTTGGATCACAAGGCGATCCATATTTCGCCGTTAAAATTGAACTTGGCCATCGATTATGAGCCCTCAACAAAAAAACACGAACATCATCCCACCCAGTGCCATCAACTGACGACACAGGAAGGTGTATGTAAACCAATTTGAGAGCCTCGTGCTAAATTCCACCATCTATTTTAATCTGTTACCTGATTAGTTAGCTTTCGTTCATAAACTCAACGATTTATATTGACTGCGCGTGTTTTTTTCTCTTCTGCTTTTAGCCGAATACGTGACCGTGGCGAAACAAGTGAAGCAACTCTTTCATGAATACAACATTCACTGTACCACAATCCAACCGGAGTTCGAGGATGTAAGTGCTTTTCCTTGTCGTTCCATCGGTTTTCTGGCGAAGTTGTTGCTACCATAGCTTAGTTGAGCGTTGCACTCACATTGCAATGAAGTCAATGACCGTTAAATATGCATTCCTCTATAATTACTGGTTAGCGGGCCTTTAAAGCCGTACTGGGTAAGGCTGGTGTCCGGTTTCGTTCTTATCGATCGAACCTAGTGGCTCTGTATGTCCTCAAGTGTAATATATCTTGGGTAGTAATGTTTGCATCTCCAAGAAGTGGAGTAAGTCAAAAGCTAAATTACTGATGCCATCAAGACTGTGCGAGAGATTAGTGCAAACTAGACCTCTTTGTTGAAAAACTTTTGGTTGATGAGGATTTTAATCCGTACGCTGCAATTATTTGGACCTCGTTCTAGGTGCGTCTAAACCAGTGCAAAATGTTACGGCTCGCTCTTGTTCTTTAAGCCGTTTCTTTAAATGAAAATTTAGCATAGTAATCGTGTGTTACCTCTCCGATTTACAGCTTATTTCAAGTAAAAAAAACTGTAAAGGCACTTTAAAGTTGTCAAGGGCCAGGGTTGACGCGAATACCGGGATGCATTGATTCGATTAGCAACGGCACTCAAACATCGATGCACCAATAGTGCAGGTGTATCCCGTTTTGGCAGTCTGAGAAATACAAATGACTGCAGCCAATTTAAGAGACTCGCTTTTCAGCCTATGCTCAATCTGGTCAGTTCAGAGTTACTGCATTTAATGCGTGTTAATTGTGCTCCACCTAAACACAGTTCCTACACACGGTCCCAGCACAGCTGTTTGGGTATTTTGCACTGATCGGCCAGGTCCGAAGCTGCTTTAGGCATGGAGCGTCGTTTACGAAGTAACCTAATGCCGGATTATTGAAGGCGAAGACCGTTTCCGAAGTGCAGTATTCAGGACCAATGTGAAGTTGCTCTTCGTTAGACCCTTGTTTGGTTTCACTTAAAGAATTCAATTTAGCTTGATAAATTAATAAATTCCCTAGTTCTGCTTCAAAGCGTTCGTGTCTAACGTAGTGTATTTGAATAATCAGTTGTTTTAATCAATGTTAAAATACAGACTAAGAAATCGTAGGGAAAAATTCTCCTCAAAGTTATACGAGCGAATTATCAAACTTAGTATTAAACCGAAAACATTGGTTCAGGTGAATCACCTTGCGTCGTTCAATCTCCCACCTACTTTTCACTCCGCAGTTATCGATTTGTTATTCTTCGTTTAGTTTTCCTTTTAATAATTAGTCTTTCAATTACGTAGTTTCTAAACTTAAATTCCTGGTGATACCTCTGAAGTTTCGATCAGACGGGCCCATCTTACTCTCGTTTCTCTTTTCACGAAGTATAAGTGGTGCCATTGCCCAAAGGTAATCGTCTGGTGATAGTTATGTGTGTAATAATTCTTGGACTTCCACTAAGCATGCGTTTCTTTGGTCTGCTTCGAGAGCACGCATAATTTTACTTGAGACGTTTTTTTAGTTAATGGTTTTTTACACAGCCAGCTAAGCCGCCCAATATTTTTTTTGTATCAGCCTCATCCACTGATTTCTTAAAATCGTTTGATAGCGTTGTTGGTGGGATTCATTTTCACCTTTTCAGTGGATGCAATGCTTTTATTTTTGGCAATACAACTCGCAAGCCTTGGTTGTTTGATTGCCTACCATTCCACATCCTCACTTTTTTGATATTTTGTTCTCGCTCTAAGTGGTACACCCGAAATGCACCTGTCCGATATCAGAAATCGCTTTATGTATTTTCAGATCAAACTTATGATTAGTCTTATTGTAATGTTGTGAAATAAACAAACCTCGAAAGCGTAGCTCTCTGCACATGTTTGTGTCTGGAATTCGGTTTCGCGCACCGAAGTGTCACGTTTCCAGGAGAGTATTTATTGGGAAAGGAGTCTTATCGTGTGATCGGGTGTCTTGCAAACTGATTTCGCCTACATTCACAATTTTTAGTAATTACGCTAAAATCTGCCTTCACTTCTATGTGAAGAGACCTGCTTATTATATTTTTTTACCCTTATTCTGTTTTGCCATTTTGTGCGCCCCTGTCGCATTGATTTTGTGCCAGCCCTAATGCCTTCTTCCCCTCCCCCTTCAGAGAAATGACCTCAACCCTGAAACTTGTCTCTACGACTGTGGACCAAATCAAAATTGCTGCTCCGATTCCTGCTGTCCCCAGCTGCAAGATCCAAACGGCCCTGGGAATAATAATAATAACAACAACAATGATAGTACTAGTCCTAACATTTTTGCTGGTAATACTTCCCTCCAAGCCTCTAGCAATACTCTTGCTCTAAACACCGACCGTGCTGACACAAAAACTGTTGGTGCGGATGACAACGTCCAAATTGAAATGAGTCAGGTTCACACACGTGGGAGCCAAGACGTTCCCCCGCCTTCCAGGAGCTATTTCTAACTTCCCTCGCCCGTCTGACTTGCGGTCGTCTTCCCTCATCCACCGATACTTTTTGGGGCATATTTTTACTCAAACAGATATTTTTTTTCTTAATTTTTTGTGCAATTCCTGTTTTTTTTTCAAGCGTGTGTTAGCGCTTCCTATGCTTGATGCGCATGTGTGTGTGTGTATGTGTGTTGGCTCAACCACCGCGCAACGCACCCCGCAATTTTCACGCCTTTAGTTCTCCCTCACATCTTCGCATGCCCCGCTACCTTATTATCTCCTTTCATGCGTAATTGTGTTAAATCTTTTGACTTTGTAATCGTCTGCAACATGGTTTCTTAAGGCACCAGTCTCGTTGCTCGGCGTAAATGCGCTCTCCGGGTAGTGTTTACCGCTGGCCAACACAGGGGTGGGCCAACTGGTGTATGCTCTGCAAAGTCAAGGCTGTGAAGGCTACGCCTAACTCCCCAATCATATGCGTCAATCTTGGCAGGAAGCAATTTTTTTCGATTCACTTTAGTCCTCGTGTTAACATTAAGTATATATTTGCGTCATTCAGCTGTGTCACTGCTACGCTGCCTTCGCCTGAGTGTGAATTGCTTCGACATTTGAACACTTCATTTTGTTTGAAAATTCTTTTTGTCATTCCTTTTTTTTTCTTCCTCTTACGTTTTTGCCAAAGGTGCTTTCCGTCTTTTATTCCTCTAATGGGGTAGGCATCCTACATTAATTTGCCTATTTAAAAATATGCAAATATAATTCTCAGTCCTCAGTCTAGTGCAGCTTTCGTAATTAAACTGTGCTGTGACTTGCATGGTTATTCGTTTCAGCCTTGATGTCTCGCCACCACTTTGCCACTATAACATGGTAATCAGTATGTTGTACCTCTATACTTTAAGCCAGGTATTAGTACCAGCTACTCACTATTGCAAAAAAGCAGGATATCTAAATTGGACGGGTATTGGGTAGTCTTCGTCCGTATCCGATGCTCAATGCGGAGCGCTGCATTCTTCTGTCACGTTGTCCCAGTTTTAGCTTGAAGTATTTTTTTAGCTAAAATGATTTTGTACACTTGGTCTGTCGCTTTGCGTCATGCCCAAGCGACATTCATACCCAATGACCTACTGCATGTGCTAGGCGAAGACATCTTGATGCCCTGGAATTGATTTAGCCGTCGTCCCATGCGTCAAGTCCTTATTTATTTCAGCCGTAAAAGATACGATGTCTAAGCACACACACTGGTTTGCCTTTCCATATAGTGATGGCGATGATTTGTCGCTCTGCTCAATAGCTTTATTACTTGTGACTTCTCATCCATCTGGCCTTTTGAAGCTATTTGCACCCAGCAATAGAGAAGCAACTTGAGTTTTTGCGCTTTACAAATACGCCTCAGCTTTGTCAAAAGCGTGGTTGCCATGACTTTTCGGAACGGGTTAAATTTCACTTTTCAAATGCTTGCATATGAATCGTCTACAGTTAGTTGTCGTGTCAATGTGGTCTGTTCTACAGACGCTAGCGGGTTCCTCGAATTCTTTACATTGTCTGAAGTGTCCGTGAGTTAGGTGCAACCCACACCATCAGCGTGGTCTCCGTAAGGCAAACAGCCAGCAACCCCATCAGCTTGGTTCAGATTCTAGTTGTTATGTGAAAGCTACAGCGGGCTGATGCCACCGTCGTTGGGTTTTCCGCAAAGTGTTTCAGGCATACTCGTCAAATTGCCTTCAAACGGTTTCTCCTACGGTCCACCTCGGCAGAATGACGTATTCAACTCCAGTGCTTCTTAAGGTCTCTCGAATCTCACTGTCGACGACTGGGATATCACATCGTCACCTCAGTTAACATTAACTTTAAAGCATATATTGATATCATTGATCGAGTTTTTCGCTCAAATAGAACAGCACATTGTATTTGTGGTATTATAACCCTATATGAAACGTCTGTAGCAAACACTGGATGAAATATTCGGTAAATTAGATAGAGCCTTAATATCAATCTCAGCTGTTCCGGATTATTGAAAATGTCCTCCATCTGGCGACAGCAGCATTGAGCACGAAAATTATAACTTAAAGGCAACTCATCTTGTGATTTTGTCCCAGCCCACAGCGATAATGCGAAAAGGTCAATGATTGGGACAGACATTTTATATAGTCAGTAAACTCACGCTCTAACAAGTATTTTTATTTAGTTTGCTTCGCTAGAGCAACTGCCAGACGAGTGTCTGTACAATTGTGGTTCAGGCCAGAACCAGACGTGTGACCAGTGCTGCTGCCCGACCAATACCAACAAAGTCAATCGGGGAAACGCAGGTCTCAAGACATTGGACGAAAGCTCTGCCTCAGACGCCACCTCTGTCAAGGACTTCGATGATCAGACCTCTGACTAAACTGACAACCACGTAGCCACTTAAAATGATTTGGTTCAACATTTAATTTCTAAACTACACCTAATTTCTAGTCAGACTTGCGGCAACACATTACCCCCAATCAACCAAGACCCTTGCCTTTAGGTTTTCATCTTTGATTGTATCATGTACAAATGGTAACACATACCTCAAATGCAGCCTCCTTGATGGTTGTTACCTTAAAACTGCTCTTGGTCTCTAGGAAAAATGCGGACGCAAGCGTTTTTGGCAAATAGACTAGCTACAACAACCCATGAACCAACTCGTTCGGAGATGTTTGGGTGACTAGTTCTGAGTCAATTTGTTTTCTGAACTATATATCTCGTGTTGATTTGTAAATAATTCCTCGCAGTTGCATTTTATGAATTCATGTTCTCGAAAGTTACCACTAGGGTAATTAGTGCTCTATTTTCACAATTATGAAATAATTAAGATGATTGTGCGTTGTCCCTTTTTCTCGACAACTGGCAGCAATCTAAAGTAGCAAACCAATCATTTTGTGATAACTTATAAGAATCCTTAGTTACCACACCAACTGTTCGGCCGAATCGAAAACGGAGCTACACTTTGATAAGGATCGTTGACGTCATGGAGGGTCTGTCCGTTATGACTAACATACTTTCAGAATTTCCTGGCTTGCTCAAACACAGGTGCGTTACACCAAAACAATTTACATAAAAGTTTGGGGCAAGGCAAAGGAAAATATTCAAACGACACGGCTTGAAGCATCTGACATTATGATGGTAGCTTATTGAGGTAGTGGAAGATCCTAGTGTAGCGTTTGTTTTCTAAATAAATGTCGGATTTTAGAGCTACTTGATATTGCTCATTGTAAACTGTTCAATCTGCTTAAAAAGTCTCGAGTGCTTTTATCTTTGGACTAAATTCTTGTGAACTAATGGCTCGTCCGTCGACATCGATACGATAACTGGTTCGTTCCTTGCTAAAATCCCCGTTCACGTTAATGTTGAACGAAGTGAGTTAGGTTCACACACGTGGGAACCAAGACGTTTCCCTGCATTCCTTTGCCCATCTGACTTGCGGTCGTCTTTACTGTGCACCCAGGGACTTTGTCTTCCAGGAATTGATAAATATTCTGTGAACGAGGTGTGCCATGCTTACTTTTTTGTTCGTTTGCATATTTTAACGATACCTGGTAAGGTGGTGCGTCATAACAATGGCAAATCAATAGCACTCCGTTTTAAGTAGCCCAAAGACATCACGACCATATAAAAGTATCCAATACGAGGCGGCTGTTTGCATTACTAAGGGTGGGCTTCAAACTCTTCGGTAGTATAAAAAAAGACCAAAATAATGTGTACAAAATCAAATTCCATTATTCAATCGGAAGACGTTGATTTTGGATTCTGTCGCTGTACTTTTTTCACGGCTGATTTGAACTTGCGCTTTATGTGTTCAAAACACGCCCGAAGACAGTATAGGCCGTTCCTGAGCACTGCCACAGCTGGTTCGCCTAAAATAGGAGCATTATTTAAACGAAGATATTTAACATCGAAATCGCGCAGCAATCCATGAAGCAGTACCTCTACTTTGGATTTCGAAGGTTATTGTATCTTCCAATGGATGAGGCTGACAATATCCACAAAGCTTGACTGTTTCACTGAAAGTAAAATCAGGACATTATACCCAATGTCATAAAGCCGTCGTTCCTCTAAAATTAGTTTATCCAAGCCACATTTTCTAACTCCGATCTCATACAATTTCTGCGAACAGTTTCATATAGGCCTCCGAAGGATACGGAAATCGTAATTAGAAAAGAGAACCAGATTCGGTTAAACTAGGTTTTCATCGCCAGCTAACTTAATTCTACCATGAATCTATAAGTTCAAAATATGGGGATACACATGATACAAATGCTGACCCTGCATTTAAGGTTTGACGTGTTCAGTGACACGATTAGGGTCACCAAACAGAACTGGGATAGGAAAAAACTGACGCTTGCAGACAGCCCACTTGTACCAGACTGAGTAATAAGTGATAACCAGATTTTCTTGTTGATGGATGTTAGTAAATTGCCTTTTGATGCAACAAAGCTATCGGTATTTAAGAGGTTAATAAAATTTTATTAACTGGTAAAATTAATAAACACGAGTTTAGAAATTGCATGGAGCGAATACTTAACGCATTGGTCCACTGTGGCCGAGGAATAATGGACATAAACGGATGTTTAGAACTCACGGTTACCTTGAATGGTTTAGAAATGCCAACCGCATAAAACTTAACATTTTGGTGACCTTTTATAGCCTTATAAAATAACTAACCCCTAGTCAGTTTTGAAAACTGCAATTTCAGTATTAAGGTTGCATGATCGAAATTGGAATGCGGATGACTTCGATTTCACAAAAGCGGTTGTTGGTGCTACTAAATTTCGGACATGGAATTGCAACAGAAGTCGCTGAATTCCCACGTGCTACAGCATGCTAACACAATTTATACGACCGCACCCGCCATACCTGCGGAGAATGCAATACCGAAGGGCAGCTCCAAGAGTGTGGTCTTCACCAGTAAAGCGGAATGTTCCTCTTCGAAGATCAGGGGAGACAAATAAAACATCCAACCCAACAACACGACCATTCAGTGTTGTCCTTCTAGTTTCCTCATTCTGTCAACAAAAAAAGGAATTACAGGTATAAAAAACATTAGTTTTACTTTCCTGATTTTTTTTACTTGCGGGGTCTGAATGACAAATGTTAACTTGGTCAGAATAAGTAAAGTTGCTGGCTATACCCTCCATTAATTTGATTTGCACCATTTAAGCAATAATATTTTGAAATCAGAAAACCGCCTTGTAACATTCTCAGTAGCAAAACTAAAACTTGAAATTCCACTGTCTGCAGCCAAGTTTGACGTTTGCTTAGTGTTTGCAGCTGATAACAATCTTAAAGGCATAAAAAAGTAACGCACACCAATGTCTGCCAAGGAAACATCGACATCAGGACAGCTTGGTAGACCGACTGAAAAATCAGGCCTTTCTACGATTGCGAGATAGTGGGCGCATTTCGAAAGCATCACATCGATGGCGTACTTGACAAGCACGTCTGGCGGGCGATAGATGGGGGCGATGGTCTCAACCGTAAAAATGAAGTGACGTGGGTTAAGAAAAACGTGAACAAGATCAGCTAGTTCGGGGTGTCTAAGGTGTTCACGAGATCCGTTGTCCAAACGGGGGTCCGCAACTGTTGCGATTTGCGTTCGAGGATCTACCTGATGAAAAAGACAAAAGTGGAGGCCTGATGGTTACAATTATTGTCTTGCTGTTAATTGCGCTTTAGTATTTCAAAATGGTGCGCGGTTAACACCACATTTGGCATCCGCTACGGATGAAATAAATGACTAAATCCAACTCATTATGGAGTGTTCGTCGTAAATGGAAACATAAGTACAAAGGGACAAATCCTTACATTAATGACACCTTTGGCGAAACTTCTCTGAAGTTTTTTTGCCAGTTCACCCCTTACAGTTCCGCGTATTTCAATTGATGGTAGTAGCTTGTAGAAAGCTGCTGAGACGGGAGAAAATTTCGCATGATCACGACCAACACCCTTCACAGCAAGACACCGGGCTTGAATTTCGTCACCAACAGCAAGTTTGTTAAGCAGAATCTTGCCATTGATAGGTCCTGGTTGACGTGTACAATCTGCCCTGAAGTTATCCTCCTGGCCAGGCAGCGGTACCCACTTGAGACTTGAACTACAATTACAACGAAGGTACTAACTAGGCGAGCACGAAGCCCAGCCCAAAAATGTGCTTTTGCTCAGGTTAGATGTAAAAATTTTAGAGAATACCAAAGAAATGTTATAACACTGGTATTTGGGAGCATACCTATATAACGGGACCGACTGGAAACTGTCCTTCGATAGACCATCACCATCACCCATTACCACAGGACGCTCGGCCTTCACATCTAAGTCGAATATTAGGTGACAGTTTGGGTCAAATGCATCCAAATCATCGGACACGGGGAGCTCGTTGTTGGAAAAACCCATCAGCTCAGCGTCTACATTTAAGGGCACCAAACCTAACCGATGACAGAATGTTTCGTCAGCAATAACTGAAGTATTTTGGTGCAGATAGACACGATCAATCGCGAATGAAGGGACTTCAGCGATCAGAATCCGACGAAGTGCATTGGCAAACGTGCAATCGACGTTAATCATGTCGAACTCAACTGCTTCGGTCGTAAGCGATGTAACAACAGCCTGAAACTCATTTATGAATACATCAACGTCCCACTTCTGTGGTTTCGACTGAAGAAATGAGAGACCATGTTGATTTACCGCAATAGCGGAGGCGGCACCCGCGTTCATGATCGAAAATACGGTCACGCTAAAGGTAGCGGGCTCACGTGTGGTGTGGTGTGGCGTCGGATTAGGGCGCAGACATGTTGGACCA